CGACGCCAAAACGGCCCTACGCCGAAATTTCGTAGACCGATTAAATGTGTATGGATCTAAATATACATGAAATGAACTATGTATAATTACAAATTAATTTTAACGTTAGTTCTTAATATTTTATTGAACCGAATGATTACGTTTAGGGAGTAGATGCATATATTTGTTTCGAACGATTTTTAATTGTTTTATTCGGTAATAGTTCCTTAAATTTGTATTGATGATGTATACGATAGTAATGAAAAATGAATGTTTACATTTGCTCGTAACTAACACGAGGTCACTCTCAAAGTTTGTACGGGAAATTTATATAATTTCTTTGTAGTATGGCCACAACAGGATGGGTGGTCAGATGAAAATTAGCAGTACCTTTTTTTTTTTTCAAATCGCCCGAAAGCTTTTAAACCAAAATCAATCAAAAGATATATTATGCATTGTCAACCAACTACAAATATAATTATGTATAGTATAAATAAAAAATAAAATCTGCACAATTAGACTACCATGCTTTATTTATTTACAATTAGTATTACCATACAATTTTCCCTGTTTTTCCCAATTGTTTGCTAATTTATTGAAAAAAACTATTTTTATCCACCAATAAGATCCAAAATGCAACAAAAAAAAAAAGCATAGAACAAACCTTCGTTGCACATTAAAGCAGAAAAGTCAGTTTTCAATTTCTTTGGCAACAGATTCTCTGATATCATCCACAGACAATTTAATTAATTGATCTTAAATAAACCAGCTAGAATAATTTGTTGTCTCAACAAATGTGTTCTTGAACTTCAGGTAATAGTTTGATAATTTACCTAATTCTTTAAAATTGTTTGACAATTTTATTATACCTATAATACCCATAAATACCCATGAGGCCTGAAAAATGTTTCATTTTTTTTCAAATGGGAACTACCGCGATTTTTTAAAACCAGATTAGAATATTGCTACCTTTTTTTAAGTAATTCACACAAATAATAATATTTGATTAACTATATATCACAAGATTAATACTTATACCAACACATGTATTGAGTTATTCACTTATTGACACGCTGTTTATTCTATATTTACGTTTAATTTTGATTTTCGAACATTGCCCACCCCACAGCTTTGGGGGTGCTAAAATTATAGACACATTGAAGACCCATGTAGGCTATGCTCACACAATCTCCTTTACACGACTCCTACAATAAACAACTAAGCGTTTCATTCACAATTTTGCGTGTATACATTTATCATAACTATTTTAATAATACTTTTTATACACGCATTGTCTGTAGGAAATCATTATTTTGTTCTGCTTATTAATTATAAAATACATAGATAAAGTATATAGTCGTTACTATGAATAAGCTTTTTAAGTTTTTTTGGGGATGCTAAAAATCCCCTAACACCTCTCTAGTTACGCCTATGACACTGTCCTACAATATAATCATCATAAACAGAATATAATATTATTATACTTTAGTGTTTCGATTATATTTCAAGAGGATCGTTAAAATAGTGTAATAATATTTGCGTAATATAGATTATAGATTCATTGCATGTTCTTCAATATATAATATAAAACCTATCACTTTATTTTTCTAATGGTTCTAACGGGAATGTAAAGTGGGTACTAAATGTACAATATAATATTAGACTATTACACATGCACTCTATTGAAAAAATAAAAAAAAAGGACAATGCAACCCAATCGCATAATACAATAGATGCATATTAACAATTTATCACGATTTAAATAAATGGCATTCGGTTTTAAGTATCGTTCTAGCCTATTGCAGCATACAGCATCAGCATCGATTGTAAAATAAATATTATATCATCGTCTGACACATTTAATTTAATCGATTTACGAATTATTATTTGTCTTCGTAATAACGGTTTTTAAGTACCTATTTACAGAGACGCAAACCATTTCAAATAGCGCGAGGGCACAATATTAGTTACCAAAATACTCACCCACCCTTGAAAATGATTCATATTGACGTATCATGTTATAATAGAAAAATTTAAATAAACGCGTTCAAAATTTTGCACTGGTGTGGCGTATTGTGGTAGTTGGTATCTGATTTACCTATAATAATTATATATATTATTATAGTTATTATAATTATTATTATAATTATATAAATAAATTATTTTTTATTTTTTCTGTGGACAACTTTTTTACAATTAGTTTTGCTCTGATTTACAATGATTGCACTTTTTCTGAAAGGAAATCTGACAAGGAAGGTACTTTAGGAAGGTAGTTTTTCGATTTTCTCAAGAGCTTTTTCATCAAATGTATAAAACCGAAAAAAAAAACATAGGAAAACATGAAAATCGGTACAATATTAAACAAATATTAAAAAAAAAAAAAACAATGACTATTTAATTATTTTACCATAATATGACATATACATTGTTGCCAAAGCATCACTATCGAATGAACTCCGCTCAAATTCGTTTTTTCGTTAGCAATGGTTTATCGTTGCTTATAGGTATATCTATAACAATGGCTGCACCCAGCTCCATTATCCTAGGACACCTTTTTTAAGACTGAATGTATACATGTAAACGGTTTAAGCCTATTTTTGAATCAGATTTGAATTTTAGATTATCAGATGCTCATCAATTTACTGTAAATATAGACTTTATAAAAAAAAAAATCATTTCTTACTACCTAGTGTACACAACTTTTGTCTTTTACTGTTTAGGCAGTTAAAAATGTATGGATAATTGTATCCATGCAACATTTAGATTTCCTTTAAATGGAAAAAATGATTTAAAATATTAGTATAAAATAATAGGTATGTATATTAACATTGTAATTTATATCTAACAACCTACTCCTACAATATCAATGTGGGTACCAATAAATACATTTTATAAATTTGTGTATATGACTATCGAGACAAAATACAGTTCATCCCCCCCCCTTCAGAAAAAGCTGAGCACGCCATTGGTACAAGTAGTATACAACGAAAATCAAGTTATTACTTATATATAAATAATAAAATATAATAGTCGTATAATAAAGAAGGTGTAGTGAAAATTGTGAATAACGTAACGCGGAATTGAATTCGACTCCGGGCCGCGGCGAAACGATGCGTATTAAGTAATAATATAATATATATTAATGTTATATCCTGCGTTGTATAGTATATAAGTAAATACTAGTTACCTATTGCTATCGCGAAAATTATCAAACAGATATCGTACGAGAGAATAATATGTTATGTCTACCAACTTGATTTCGGGACGATCGCCAGTGTCCAAACAATAAACGTATTGTAGTGTCATTTTAGATTCCGAGCGTAGCGAAGGAGCCATCGATTTTACCAAGATGTTTATTATTTTATTATTTCTTTGTTCTAGTCTGTGGTCACGTTTTTTCCTAGTAAACTTGCTCCGATTTTTACGTGTAGCAAATTTTCTGGATTGTCAAGTTGTCCAGATGGTACTTTAATCGGGTTATTTTTTTGATTTTCGACGCCATTTTTTAAATAAAAGCACTTAAGTGGGGAAAAAAAAAGAAGGAAAACGTACAATTTCACGATTTCATTATTTTATAAAAACACCTTTTATGTTAACGTTTTGATTTACTTTCTTACGGTATCATCGCCAAAATGTTATGTATTACGGAACTGCGCTCGGAATCGTTTTTCATCAAGCAATAGTTTATCGTTGCTTATGGATATAAATGAAATAACCTTATGTATCCTAACTAACTAACTTCTCATCTACAACAGTTGCCGGTATCTCAAGTATCAGCTCTTTTTTTTTCACTTGTAAATCAAATTTCGTGCTGAGTCCCGTTTTCTCGTTTTTGTACCTCCTATAGGTATACTGTACAGCAGTAATCAAAAATACGAAAGTGGAAGTATGGGTTATGCTACGGGCTAGTATTGATACAAGAACAGATAGGTATATAGACGAGTTTGCAAAGAGGAAGAAAACATTTATAGGTAGTCTTTATACATTTTTGTTCTGATACTTTGGTTAAAAATCGCACGGGAAATGAAACATTATTAATTACTTACTTAAGAGAATACCAAACCCGCATGCAATGGTGGCGCAAAATTTTTTTACCTCGAATGACCGATATAGTTGTTCACCCAGCCTAATCCAAAAATATCCCCATCCTAACACAATTTGACTGTCAAATTCATCAAAAATCTCAAAATTCCGAAATTGTTTTAATGACATGTTTTGTAAAAACATAATCATTTTTGTTATATTTTTGAACACCCAAACACCCACGACCCACCTACCCGGTTTTTTGTTTTTAATATACCTCCTTGGCACTGTCCAGTACCCACGTGTTGTACTTACTGCTGTCTCCGTTTTACAAACGATCGACTTACCGCATTTAGGTATGCAAGGACGACTCTGATGTACTGTTCGTTTTAGTATAAGAGTAAATTTACATATTATAAAACTGAAAGAACAGAACATATTTGTATAAATACCTACATACATATTTTCGGTATTTTAATTTGTAATCTAAATAGGTAGGTGTTATACCTGAAAATTTTTAAATTTTGATGTTTAACATAGGTTAAGATGTTTAACCTACTCATGCCTCAATTAAAAATTTAAACATCGAATGATGTTCGACATAGTTGCAAACAATATAAAGTTTAAATATTTAAGTTTGATAATAAGTAAATTCACTGGTCATTAAATGCTAAAGAACGGCAAATTTGCTATATCGTACGTTGGTAAGACGATGACAGTACCTTGTTACTTGCGGGTAAGTAGGTATGATATCGTCATAAGAATTAGTTTTACAATGTACCTATTTTAAAATGTCATTGCTTTGGGTTTAATCTGCTTAAATTATATGGTTATGAGTACATTTAGTAATTAAACACTTAATAATAGTAAATATTTTATAAATAATAATATAATTTAATAAGATAAAAAATAGGTTTTAATAAAAACATTAAACTTAAAATAAATATATACATAAATTGTAAGTACAGTATAATGTGATTTAGATACATTGTTTATTAAATGAATTAATCTACATTAAAAAGTTCTTATTTTTTGATTTTTGATTTTCAAAAGTTTTAATTACATGATCAATATTTAATTTTTAATTCATTGGTACTTGCTCTTACAATATTTAAAATGTAACATTTACAATTTCCATCAAAATTTAGTTCTAAAATTCTTATAAAAAAAAATAAATACTATTCTACACTCAAATTTTTTATCACTTAGTAAATTTTAAGACTTATAATAAACTTCTTGTTAAATGTTCAAACATTTCTATTTAGTTATTTATTTAATTAGTTTATTTAGTTAGTTATTTATTTCTAACAATTTTATTCATCAATTATCTACCTACAAATAAAAATTATGAAAAAACTATCATAATTGAAATGTTTTGAAAGATTAACTACGCCTAGAAAAATCCAGTATACTATTTTTATCATAATATCAAGTCTCTATGACTATTTTTAACTGAATTACAACCAATAAAGCTATTCTAAAGGATAATGGAAATGGGTACAACGACTGTTTTAGGGAGGGAGTTGGGAAGGTAGAATATAGATAAGAATTTAATGTATTTAATGTACATCTGTAAGTAAGGATTAACCATTAATATTAAAAAAATATTATGAATGGAATTTAGTTTATAATGTTACTTTGTTAACAATATATATGAATATGTCATATTATGGTAAAATAATTTCATATACAATAAACATTTTCTTTAATAATATTTGCTTAATATTGTATCTATTTTCCCAATTTTTAATTCATTTATTGGGAAAACTTTTTGGAAAATCAAAAAATGACCTCCCTAGTCTGATTTCCTTTCAGAAACAGTGCTATCATTGTAAACTGGAGCAAAATTGATGGTAGACAAGTTGTTCACAGAAAAAAGTAAATAAATAAACATCATTGTAAAACCAATACATTTCTCGCTCCACTTAGAATCTAAAACAAATTTAAATGTATCATTATTTTTGAAAAGTTTGCCCATTCTTTCTACTTTTTTCTTTTTTTTTCGGTTTTGCTCAATTGTTAAAAAAAAAAAACAATTTTCTTATTCACCAATTAAATTAAAATTGTAACAAAAAAGATTTCTTGCCATTTTTAATGGAGCAATAATTCTGGCAGAAAACATAAACCGTACAATTTTAAAATAAAGGAATTGATAATGCTATGGCTCTATATATTATGGCTAAATATTTGCTGATTTATCTATAATTTTGTTATAGTTTTTTCCAATTATTTTTTAAATCCCTTGAAAAAAATGTCCTCCTTAATGCACTAATAAGATAAAATTTCCATTCATAAAAGGTGTTACACTTGATTCATTGGAGTAAGTTTACTTCCCAAAAAGTTGTGTAGACAAAAAAATAATAATAGAAAAAAACATAAATCATAGTAAAATCAATTGAATACAAACCAAACTCTATATCTAAAAATAAAAATAGACACATATAGTAAAACCAACACTTTTCCCAAACTAATCTTATCAACAGTGATGTTTGACAGATTTCCAGCACCTTGGCATGAAAATTGTAAAGTCCATAATAGTATATTAATTTACAAGATATTTTTTTTTTAAATTTAATTGATATTGTTTTTTATCAACTCAATTAAAATAAAATATATATTATATATTGTTATGAAATATATAAAATGAAGAATATAAACATGATCTTATATCATAATAAATGAATGTAGATTGTAGAAGTTTAAATAGTTTTTTGATTTATAGAAATGATTTTACAAAATAGTGTGACATATATATATATATATATATATATATCATATATAAATACAATAATTTTATTTTTAACAAATTCTATACAAATGCCTAATAAAAGAAATTAATATAATCAATGAAATCTACTAGAATATACAAAATAAGCAACGTTCATACAATATTATTAATTCAACCCAATTGAAATTGGTACAGCAAATATAAGAATTTTCTAATTTTTTTTTTTTTTTTTTTTTTTTTTTAACAAATGTGGTTGTTTAAGGATAAACAAGAATTATTCCACATTAGATGAACTAAATATAAAAGAATTGATTATATCAGTGTTTTGTTAAAATGGTATCTATCAAATTAATTTCACTCTTTTTTAGGAAGCAAAACAGTTTTTAATGATGTTTATTATAGAAAACAATAAATTTACTCTTTGTAAGGTTGATTACAAGGTGTGTAAAATATACATGCATTGAATGTGGTATACACCTTTTAAACAGAGTTGATTTAATTCTATTTTTAAAAAAGCTCTTGGATATCTTTAAGTCGATATTATTAACTTAATTTTCTATATTTAAATACACCCTTTTACCATTTTATACTCCTAATTTATCTGATTTTTTTAATACCAAACACGTATTTTTTGATTTTTAGTGGTATATGCTCTTTTAAAAAAACACCATTGATATATAATCAATGGTATCACAATATTTTTGCATAAACTTTTATAGTTTCTGCTGTGGATTCAATGAATAGTGTGAATGCGCACTGCTATTTCTGATTGAAATATTCTAATATCAGTTTAATATAAATTAAATTTGTCATCCAAAATTAAACAGTAAGATATTTTAGATACAATCAGCAACCAATATAATTCCATTCACTGTATATAATCTAACATTATTAACCTTCTCTCCTTATAGTATTATTTGCATGAATTGTATTAGTTTACAAAATGTGATAAAAATTTCTATCAAAATAGTTAATTAACCATGACCTACAATAAATCAGTTTAGTAAAAAACTAAACAAAATTAGAAAAACCATAGTGGATTAAAACTATGAAACTAACTTTTAAATAGGAATGATAAAAATGTATACTATTAATTTGTTTTAGAGTATACTGCATATTTTTTTAACACTATTAAATAATTTTAGTTAAATAGAGGTTATGTAGAATTGTTATAATAATCATAAATTATTTAGTTTGATGCTTCTATAGAGTACGTTCTTGGAATGCTTGTTTCATACCAGGTAGCTAGAAATTTGAAGTTTTGTGCTGTTTCAAATTCCTAAGGTGTATCAAATCTAATTGTATCTTGATTAATCGAATGTGTATATTTTGTACACCCATTTTTATTTTTGTTTCACTATTATGACCAATGTTTTAACCTAAAAAAAAACATATACTCAATGAGTATTACTCATATATTAGGTATATTATATAAGGTATAAATTTACTGGGAAGCTATCAATAATACAAAAACTATTTATAAAAGCTTAAAATCTTTTAAAAAAATTACCTTTTTAAAGCAGTTGAATAATCTCTTTTGAAAATGTAATTTTCTTCTTCCTTTATTTAACAAATAATTTATAATTAAATAGATATATAAACATAAGATTTCCAAAAATAATTAATATTTATTAAAATAAATAATACTTATCAAATAAAATATTCCATGGAAATTATATGTTTGCATACATTTCTAATTGCAGATATCTACTTTATTTGTAATTTTTGGTGAATTCTTAATTTTAATTTTCTTTCTTTTTCTGTGAAATTCTTTAACCAGTCTATTTCTTCAAATGTGGGCCTAAAAAATATATAATTTATAATAACATAATAAAATGTATAAATAAATAATTTGTATAATGTAAGTAGGTACTGTTTGGTTTCTTTTTTTAACTAACTCTCTTTACATGTTTCAATTCACCACTTCTTTTTCAACATTCTTAATTATGAATAATACATTTAAAATACATGAACATTCAAAATAAAATACATTTATATTTGTTGGATATTTTGACTCTGCCTCTCATAACTACTGTATTTATTAATGTTATTTAATTTATACAGGGCCTTTCAAAATTAATTTTAAATTAAATATTTCTTTGAAATACTTATTTTTCAAAATATTATTTATTATAAAAAGTACATATTGAAATCAAATATTTCAAAGTAGTTTAATGTTTATTAATTTTTTTTTAGGCTAGAAATTATTTACCTAGTTCATTAATAGTCTATATTTCTTTTAGCACATAAAACTTCATCTATTTTGTGGTACTTCTAGCACACATAGAGAACGCTATACCAGCATGTGCTGTTTCAGTCTAACAGGCAATATAGCAAAATCTACCCTAGTACCCTGCGTAGAACTCGCATAATTGTGGTTCTAGAGTAAAAGCACCTATTACAAAATTAAAAGACGACAATATTCAGGAAGTCAAAACAATACATTTATTTTTTAAAATTCCTTTAGTTACAGTTGTTTAAGAAAGATAAATTAGATTTTATTTCTAAAGAATGTGTAGGTATTGAACATTATATCCGAAATAATAATTAGAATTATAAGAAAAATGCAGACTTTCCCTCCAGATCATTGTCCATTTAATTTTATAATAGGTGCTTTTACTCTAAAAGCAAAGTTAAGCGATTTTTATACAGTCTGTGTAAGGTAGATTTTGCTATATCGCTTTCTATTGGACTGAGACAGCACATGGGGGTATAGTATACTCTTAATAATAAAATTGTTATTATTTATTGCGCACAGAAATACGTGTAATAACTACAGCTCACTGTATATTATAGCCATAATAATTATAATATAATATATACTATAAAAAAATGTATGTACTTATATATACTTTTTTACAGTATAATGCTGTCTATGCCATGGGTGTTGAGTGTTAAATATTGAAATTTAAATGGGAACCTATATTAAAAAGTCTATAAATAAATGCAGTAATATTTTAAATAAATTTTGGTGTTGACATTTTTGATTTCTATCAATCAGTTGATGAGATATACAACTTTTTAGTTTAGTCAGGGGAAGAGTGATTGCTTGTATAGTGGCACAGCAAAGTGCATGGTGTTTAAATAGTGTTGCACTACCCTTCCCCTTCCTAAACTAAAAAGTTCAATATCTCATCAAAATGGTTGATGGAAATCAAAAATGTCAACACCAAAATTTATTTAAAATATTACTTCATTTGTTTATGGAATTTTTAACATGGGTTTCCATTTGAATTTCAAAAATGAACACCCAAAATTCATTAAAATAAAAAAAATGTACAAGTTTTTTTAAGTGTTTATAAATAAATTTTAGTATTAAACATATTTCTCTATTTTTAATATTTATAGGGGAAAATTGCTATAACATAAAATTCTGATTGCCCTGTATACAAATATAAATTTTTACTGTCTATTGCTTAAACAAATAACATTCTAAAATTAAAATACAGATTCATAAGATTTAGATTCTACTAAACATTTTTATTTAAACAATTACAGGATATTTATTATTAAATACAATATATTTTGTGTCCAACTTGACATCATTCTAAAATAAATACAATATCAATAAAATTAATTTGTGTTATAAAATATAATTATTTTGAATTTGCTCAATAAACAAAAACATAATATTCTTATAAAATATGTAAATAATTAATGTCAATATTATATTATGTATTATATAACCAATAACTATTCTTATTTTTATATTTTAACAGCTCAATATCTTGATAATGAAAATATAACAAAAACAAAAATAAAGAATGATTGAATGTGGAGCAAGTTAGTTGCTCATCAAGTTGGTCATCAAATTAAATTGAGATTCTATTATAATTGCTTACAATTAAATGGTGTTCTTATGAACTATTACTATGCAATCGAATTTAAAATCAGTTGTATAAATTACTAAAGGTGGGATGATACTAATTTGTACAGATAAAATTAGGGTTAGTGACAAAGTTGTAGTTTTCGATCAATAGTACAATTTACACAATAAATTGTATACATGTATATATACATATTACATACATAACAAGAATACCTACATACAAAGTGCAACAGAAAGTATGTCACTTAAAATAACTTTTGATTTAATAATTTTAATTAATTTTTTTTTTTTTTAATAATTAGCATGTTAAAAATAATTAGTATAACTGCGCTACAATTGAAATATTGTTTTTTTTTTTAGAAAAATCATTTTGCAAAATAGATTTGACCAGATTTTTTTTCAGATGTGGCCAAGTCTTAAGTCTTGAGCGCCAGTGGTTTTATATGTTTCAAATTAGACTTCTTCTCCTAGAAACAATATTTTCACATTACAAATTTAAAGTTTATACAAATTATTTATATGTAAATATAAAACTCTTGAAATCAGTTTAGTACATTATTTTAGATTCTGAGTTAAGCATAGAAACTTATGATTTTACAAAGATTTTTTATTATTTATTTTTTATCTAACAACTTTTCTACCAGAAATCTTGATTTGATTTTTAAGTATAGCACCTTTTTTGAAAGGAAATTGGTGAGGGAAGGTACTTTAGGGTAGCCATTTTTCGATTTTCTAGAGAATTTCTTTATCAAATATGAAAATCCGAAAAAAAAAACTGAGAAAAACCATGCAAATGTATGAAACATAGTTGGTGAAATACTAAGATTTTTTTTCTGTGAAGAACTTTTCTACCAACAATTTTGGGAGCAATAACTTATCTAAAATTCTTATCCTTAGGATAGATCCAGAGGAAAAAATCACACATGCTTAAATCAAGGGAGTGTTGCTGCCCAGCCTATGTCATCCCTCTGAGAGACCAACCGAATAAAGAACATTTGACGCAAAACAGCAAGGGGATGAATATATGATGTACATAGTATGTGTTTTGGAGAAATGGTAGAACAGTATAAGATATTTAATATATTTATATATTCATTACATAATTTATGCAATTGTTTTGAAAAGTCGAACACAAATGAGTTAATCAATACAAATCAAATTTATAAAACTTATAAAATCAAATTTTAAATTAATTATTAATATAGATTGTATTTTAAATATTTCTACAATAAATAACAATAAATAGCCACATTATTTTCTATGTAAATGTACTTTGTGGGGTTATTTTTATTTTTGCTTTATTGTATCTATGTACCGAAATGTTTAATAGCAAATGTAAAAAAAATTGTTTCATAATATGCATTCATACTTACTTTTTACTATTGATTACAAATAACCAATATACCCACTGAATTTAAAGTATATGTATGTATAATTATTTCCTTCCAGTTACATCAAAGTTTTCCATTGTTTGAGCATTATTATTCAAGTACACCATCTATAAAAAATACAAAAATTAATAAAGTAAATTAAAATAATTTAGCTAGATTTAGGTAGTGAAATATAATAATGTGACATAATAAAGGGTTTTAGTATGTAGATATAAATAAAGCTTTTCTTCAGAAACATTTGTGAGGGATAAAAAAATAATCAACATCATTTAAAACTTGATTATATAGCACTGCACACTTGGGAAAAAATAAATTTGAATTCTTGATGGAATAATTATTGAGTAATCAATTTATCATTTAAAAATAGATGTGAAATTTATTACTCTTCCCTACTCTTCCAATCCAACCTTTAAATGGTTATAACTCATAAATGGTAAATCTGATATTAGTGTTATGTATAACAAAATTTCTAAAGAAATATCTCGTACTCAAATTTGTGCTAAAAAAGGAGGGTTCTATTTTAAAAACAAGCATAAACTTATTTAAGAAATTTAAGGAATGTGGAGTAGAGGGTAAAAAATTAAAAATGATTTAAAATAAAGCTTAACTGATTCCATAATGATGAAAACAGAAACAGAAATCAAATTCACTCACAATCCTTCGAGAAAATTGCTGGTTCATCATAAAACAATTATCCTGTATAATGGTAATCAAATCAAAAATATGACATTTCAACCCCTTATTAATAATTTAAAAGATAATTAGACTGACATATCAGTGATATGTAAATAAAATGTCATTTAACAATAATTAATAAAATGGTGTTCATCATTATTAGTTTAATTTATTTATTAAACACAGGCTTGGGCCAAAGTACAATTATTGTAGGTAAATTTACATAAAGTACAAAAAGTCAATAGTAGTGAAACAAAGCTAGGTATTCAGTTTAAAACAAGAGGAAGGGTAAGTATTATTAGGCGCACTGTAGAGTGCACTTAACAGTTGATTAGATTATTTGGACTGTAATTAGTATAACGTTTAGGAATAGTAAATGAAACAATAGAGCAGGCTGAATATGGTGGTACTCAGAAGTTTTTAAGGGAAAGGAGCGGTGGAACATTAGCAGAATCACTTATAAGATTTTGAAGGAACTTCATGTTAGAGTTTATATCAATTGGAAAATATTTAGAATAATTATGTAACACAACATTAGCAACTTTTATGTATTTTATTTTTTATTGTATATTTTTATCATTTTGACTACATATTTCATGAGGCATTCAGTTCTCTAAGTAGCTAAAACATATATTTTCTATACTTGACTAAACATACACCATAGCAACCACACACCAGATTGTAGTATGGCTTTTGAGTTTTCTTAAGGTATAAAGTTAAAAATATTTTTAAAAGCAAGAATGGTGAAGAATTATTGTAGGTTGAAGTTTGAAATGATGGAGAATGGAATGGGATTAGACCATTATGGCATATTTGAATGATTTTTAGTGTGTACAAATTTGTGTCCTTACACTAGGTAGATATCTAATTAGTATTCAATGCTGAAAAATTGATTTTGAGGGGTGCTAAGGAAGTAAAATGGTGTAAACTCTTGGTACACCACTGTACACATGGATATTATACACATAAAAACGAACGTTTATTCAATATTTAATTCGCTAGAAAATACGAAAAAAGAAAGTTGTATAGAGAAAAAAATTTATTAAAGACATTGCTTACCTAATATGTTATTATATATATACATAGAAACGTACGTTCTCCTTCAACACGAACTAATCTTTTGTCCTTTACTATGTAACTGATTAAGGAAAAGATGATCGTTGCATTACTGTATACAGTTTGTATGTTCAGCGATTATTGTTTGTTGAACAATTAACGTGTGAATGGATTTGAGTTCTTTAATAAAATACAAATTAACAATGTAACTTTACTTTAGGAACATAAAAAAAGTAGAAGTTGAAGTAACATCAAGAATTCAAAACATTGAACAATGTAAGACAAGAGGCATTATTTAATAATTAATGAAAGACGAGAGTAAAATAAAACAGACGTGTAGCCATTACGGTTATATCTACCCGAGGTTACCATTTACAATTTATCACAAAATGTAGCGATACTATCACCGATAACACGGATCCCAGGTTATACCGATATCGAATAATTCAGTTTTTAGTTTTTTATTATTTAGTTACTACGTGGTTACTCGCCGGGGTTTTCGGAACTACCAACGTTTTTTTGTAAATTATTTTTTATATTTTTATATTACGATTCACGGCGAACCCTGAACCCATCGTAACAACCTACATTCCAATTGTACACTGAACTGGTCGTTTTTGGTTATGTTTTGTAGAGTTGTGTAATAGGTACGGAACTGCGTTGTCATCGACCCGGTGTATAAACAATTTCTATAGTGAATTATTAGTTGCGTTTTTCAGTAAATCACGTAAATACTCTTACTCCATCGAACAAGGTATGTTTTAATTGTTAGAATCTATGTCGCTACAATAAGTATGCAATTCGTGGCTGTACTTAATACACTGTTAGGTTACACTTTTGTCTAAACATTACTATGATAAGTTTATGTTTGTATCTAATTAGTTAGGTCGTTAAACGTTATAAATTTACTGTAGTTCAAAAAAGTTTCAATACAAATTTTGTTAATCTGTTGGGACCATCCGGTCAGGGTAATAGGTGTAATAAAACGTAGTTTATTAGTATTCAATTGCTGTTATATGCGTAAGACCTTTATTATATCAAATTGTATTAATTTATATTATTATTATATACTTGTTAGCATTTAATTAATATTAGATATCGTTAGAAAGAATAGTAACTGTCAGAATTAAAGGCTCGTTATAGTATATAGAGGAAACGTAAGGGACATTAATTAACCAGTCTTAACCAAATGTTAGACAAGTACCTATGTATCTGTGTACAAATAAACTTAGTCTATGACAATTGTTATCTTATTTCAAAGTGTAAATCCAAATTCTAAATAAATTTGTCATGAGTTCTCTTGGCTCTTAGCAAATCTATCAAAATTATTCCTCGATTATTTTGTCTTTTGACTTCTTTTGTCGTTTGGAACAATAAACTGGGATTACTAAAACAAAAAGAGTATAAAGAATAAGAGTTTTTGAAAATTATGATGAGTTTGATGTTATTGAATACTGCTATGTGTGTAATGAATTAAAAGAAAAATTAACAATTGTTTTTTTTTTTTTTTAATAGTGAAATTATATCTTAAATGAAGTGAATTATGAGGATGACTGAATAAAGTGTGATCAAAGAAAAACCCTGTATTTGAGTAGAGTAAGATAAGAATCTAGAGCTAAATATTTGTATAAAACATATTTGATATTTTGGTATTATTTTTTTTTTAATAGTTAAAAAAAAACACTAAGTTAGCGCCCATTGTCTAATACCTATAGTGAATTACACTATGTTTAATATAATAATTTATAGTTAATATACCTACTTATAATATAGATCCGTTCTAAATCCATTAATGAATTCATTCATTAACTTAAGATAAAAAAGAATTTTGACTGTTTAAAGAAACTATGAAATAATAGAAAGATTTTATATGAAATCACAATCCAGCCAATCAGTTATTTTAATTTCAAAATTTTACAACCTCAGAAAATTATTGAAATAAAAGATCAAAAACAAGTCACTTTCATCGTTGAACCATTTTGATATAATACCATTTCGTCCTTAAAAAAAAGAAAAATGTATTCCCTATTGGTAAGTATGTGTATTGATAAACTCATATACATACATTACATATGAGTTTATCAATACACATACTTACATAATAGTAATAAATAATAACATAATAACTGGATTTTCATAGTATAAAGTTAATTATAGGTATATTTTTCTAATCATCTGCTCATTAGTACATAATTTTATTTTCAATGATCAGTATCAAAATAGCCAAACATATTATTGAAATTAATCATCGATGTGATTTGTTAGTAGATAAGAGTTTTATGTATATCATTTATTTTATGGGTTGAGTAAAGATGGACAAAATGATTTTATTTGTTTAAAACTTCTAGTACCCAGCGTTTAAAATGTATTCACCATCTCTAGGAATTAATGAGAAATTTTTACTTAACACTACTGAATTTGGACTGAATCCAATTTTAATTTTTGGTAGAGTAGCACAACAACGATAACAAAACAGTTATGGCTATTTGTCAGAGTTTGTGGTGTATAGGTATATAATAGATGTTTTATTTGTGTACTTATTTGTGCTTTATTATAAATGTATAAATACCAAATCACTTTTAGCAAATAGCTACCATAGTAGGTATATCTAGAACTGTCCGTATTTTTTTTTGTTATTTAATGATACAGCAGTTTTAGATGTCTTTATTTGATTATTAACAACTGTTAAGTGAGGCTAGTAATTAAAATAGGCAACTATGACAATTAACTATTTAATTGTAGGTAATCATAGTTAAATTATATTTTCGATAATGAATATTATGGAAGGGTTTATTAAATCAGTGAAATAAAATAAGATAAAAACGTAAGAGTTTAGACAATCTTACATTTATGAATTATTATAGTGGTTGAAATGAGTGGGTAGTAATTTTTCAAAAAAATGTTCCTATTCTAAACATCACTTGTGTGATATAAGAACAAAGAGAAAAAAATATATATATATATTCAAATGACAGTGATAGACAGTCAAGTATTTATATATTCATGAGTAGGTATGTCTGTATAAGGAAACATAGTGTAAAATACAAAATTAACAAAATCAACATTAAATTTAAAATGATATAGCCTATAGTATAGTTTGTGGTTAATATATTTCTTGTGAGAGTACCATCTATAAACCTTAAGTAAATAGTACATTTTTAATTTCAATTATAGTTATTACAAAAAAAAAATGTTATTTTTTAAACAAAATAGTTTTAATAAACATTAAATAATAATTAATAAGAGGTAATAATTAGAATTTCTTTATTTATGCAAATACAAATTCCAATTCCAATTCTAATCAAATAATATAATATAATGTGTAATGTATATACATTGCATATAATATTTATTATATGCTACAAGTACTAATACATAGAGAAAAACAAACAAACAAAAAATTAATAATAATAAATAAAATAAAGAGAAAAACAATATAACAATGTAAATGGATTGTAATTTTCCATATCCTAACTTCTAGTTAGAATTTTACTACTGAATATTTTATATGTAATATCACCAAACAGGTTAAATAGGGATATTATATATGTAATATAATTTTTTAAAAATAGTAGATACCAGCAACTATTGCCATTGTTTGTAAGTTAACATTTAGACATTGGTGTATATGTATGTATTAGAGAGCCTCAATATTACCTAATATGTTTTTTTTTCTTTTTAGTAATAATAATTAGTTCAAACCATTTTTAAAAATTTAGATGGAAGATAAAAAGAAATTAGCTTTATTAATTGTGAATCATTTGAAAAATGAACTCCATTCTGGAAACTTCTCTGAGGAAAACATGGAAAGTTTGGAAGTATCTGTCCAATGTATTGAATCAGCATACAGTTTGAATGTAAATGAATCCGATAATGTGGACATAAAACTAGAAGACATCATAAGAAAATATTTTCAAAGTGGAAAGCCTGTGCCTCCACTTGGAGCCTCAGGATCTCAATCTGGAGCCTCGACATCTCAATCTGGAGCCTCAACATCTCAACATAGAGCCTCTTCGTTTCAACCTGGAACCTCAGTGTCTCAACCTGGAACCTCAGCGTCTCAACCTGGAGCCTCAGCACCACCATTTAGAGCCACAGCTCCCCCACTTGGAGCCTCAGCTGCCCCACTTGAAGCTGAGCAACAAGTAAGAAGGATAAAATAAAACAACTTTTATAGTTCATTATAAAATAAATGTTATTTGTTATATCTTTACTGAATTATCCTGCACATTTTTATTCAATGTAAGACTAGACTAAACATTATATAGACATTTGTACCTAAAATGGTGTAGATAATTTTAATTTATTAATTTTCATGCTTATCAATCCCATAATTTGAATTTTAATATAATGTGAGTACCTCAATTTATGCACATATATGGTTTTATGCATTAATGATTTTAAATGGTTAATTATATTTGGGGTGATCAATCTATCATAAAACACTTATTATCTCAGAAATTTTAATGTTTTGAAGAACATTTAAGAAACAAGCTGTTCTAAAATTTAACATTTACACTATTTTTTGTCACTCTGATTTTCAAATTACAACCTATATTAAAAATGCCATAAATAGGCGGAGTAGTAGTTAAAATACATTTTGGTATTTAAATTTTTAATTTCTGTCAATCCATTAAAATCATTAGAGTAAATACTAGAAAATTGAATAGAAGTTTCATTAAAAGTTGCACATTTGTGGTAGAAATAAACAATTTGGGCTCAGTATTTTTTTTTTTTATTTTATAAAGGAATTTTAATATTAAATGTTGATGAAAATCATTTGAGTAAAAAATTATGTAGAACATATCTAATTTTTCAATCTTTTATTTTGAACATATGTATGTTGCCAATTTAAAATGGATGGTGAAGTTCAAATTGAGCAGACTGACTTAGTTTTGAAATTATAGTTTTTTGAAGTTCTGATATTATATTATGTTTTGTTAAATAACTCAGTATTATCAATTTTATAGTATGTCTGTTGTAGTTTTCCCAACTTCTTAGATTCTCATCTACAACATTGGTCCATGATTGGTCAAAATTAAATTATCAATGACTACATTTTAAAATGTATAGAACAAAGAAAACAACATTTATTCTTTTATACAATTTTATTAAAACAGTTTATTTCTTTACAATATCTATTAAGTTACTATTTAATATGTAGAAATGTGGAATTATTTTTAATATAACATTATTTTAATTTATTTTTTTTTTTTTAGAGAGCTCAAGACTTTGTAAACTTGGCTAATAAACTAACCAAAGATGAAAAAGAAGCAGCTGAATATCATAAAAACTGTGGAAATGAATTTATGAAAAGTCAAAACAATGAAAGGGCCATTGAATCTTACACTAAGTATGACAATATATTATTATTATATTCACAAAATAAAAATAATCAAATATTAATTTATTATTAATATTATTAAAATTTAACATTTCATTGTTTTTATTTTAGATCAATCAAATTGAATCCTTACAATCCAATTTTTTATTGCAATAGAGCTGCTGCTTATAATGCTCTTGGTAATTACACTAGTGCCATTGCTGATTGTGAGAAAGCAATTGAACTTGACTCGACCTATGGCAAAGCTTATTGTCGTCTTGGGTAATTTAACCTAAATATAAACAATAAACATAAAAATTAATTGTATATACTAATTATAAATTCAGGATTATTTTAATGGTATTAGGTGGCACTTATTTATATAAGGAAAAAATTATTTTTCAAATGTTGAGGAGTACCTATAGATTAAACATTTGTTCCAATATTTCTAAAAAAAGGGCTGTAAACTTTGATTTCTATTAAAATTAATTAGCAATTTAAGCTTTATGAAAAATATTAAAATGTAATGTTTTGGTGTAATACTTAGATTTTTATTTTAAAATTGTATAGAATCATTTTTGTAGTTATAATATACTGTAAAATCAAGAAATCAATGTTCATATTTTATTAATTTAACTTAATTTTTAGTCTTGAAAATTCACAATAAATTATGAAAATTGATGAATATATTTAAATTTTTTATTCAAAGTTTTAACATAAAATTATTAGTTTTAATCTGATTAGAGTTACAAATATATTAGGAAATGATTACAACTCCTAATTAATATTAAAAATGTACTAGTTTTATCTGATATCAAAATAAACCATGTATTAATTATCAAGTCTTAGGTTATCACAGCAAATAATTTAATGAATGGCAGTTAGATATATAGACAGGATTTTTCTTGATTTCACTAGCAATTGTTAACTTGTAAAAATATGATATTAAACATGAAAATATGTAGTTATCAATTCTAAAAATTAAAAAAAAAAGTTACCAAAAAATGTCCAGTTATAGTTTTTCTTTTTTTAAACAAATTGAGCTTAAATTGCTGTCTTAATATGTTTTATTAAGCTTAAACTTTTTTCCAAACCATATTATTATGCATTAGAACATATTTCTATACACTATTCAAAATTAACAAATTCAAAAATAAGTTACATCAATATCATTAAATATATAAAAAAAAGAATTGTTAATTACTAATTAAATATTAATATTTATAATTTATGTTAAAATTAAATTTAATAAATTGATAACATAAGGTTTATTAAAAATATTTAACCTTTTAATTTTATTATGCTAAGGTACATTTTCATTATATTTTAAATACACACAATTGGAGGGCTGGTTTCACATTAATTTGAAACCACTTGTTTCTAATGGGACAGCATATAGTTTATGTGAAAGAGCCAATAATATGTGAATAAGTTCTATTTTCTTTAAATGATTTCAATATGAACTATATTCTTATTTGTTATAAATTAACTTTTAGTTCTTTCTCCTTCATTTGGATAGAACATAGTTATATTTATTATTAATATTTTATCTATACACTAAAGACATAAATTTGAATTTGAATTTTCTAAGTACATAAAAAAAATATAATTTGGTAAGTGCTATTTATGTAAATTTGTTAATTTTGTATTTCCTATGAATAGATAAAAAATAGTATGAATCAGGATTTGTAATTATATGTTACTATATAGAGCTGAGTATTAAGCAAGAAATTGTTTATACAATCCTTTATTTTAAACAAATTGACATTGGTCGCAGGTGGGTGGGCTATTGTAGGTCTGAAGTTGAGAAGGTAGATTGGAAATTTAATGTATATCTGTACACAATGATTAAGAAAGATTGGATTCTGAGTGGAGTTCAGTTGATAGTGTGGCTGCTTTCTCAACAATATATATATATATATATATTTTATTATGGTAAAATAAATACATATGTATTAAATATTTTCATTAATAATATTTGTTTGATATTGCACGTATTTCTCCCCCTCCCGGGTTTTCTATGTTTCCCATTTATTCGGAAAAACAAAAAATGATCTGCCTACAGTACTACCCCAGTCAGCTTTCCTTTCAGAAAAAGTGCTGTCATTGTAAATATGAGTAAAATTGCTGGTAGAAAAGTTGTTGACTGATAAAAAAAATATAAATTCTGAAACCAATATATTTTTTGCTTTACTCAGAATCTAAAATGTACTTATTTACTGGCCAGTGTTTAGTATTTATATACTTGTGAATGTACACTTGTGATGAGTGCCTATTGATTATTTTCTATTTTGCTGTTGACAATATTACTATATTTATTATCAAATTTTAAAATTATTCTGTTATTAGTGTTATAACAATTATGTCTGATTTCATAATGCATATATTTTATTTTATTGGTTGTATAATAGTATAATATCAATATTACCATATTAATATTATATTATTATCATAGCTTTTCATTTTTTATATATTATTACAAAGTAGTGTAGAAGGAATTTCTCTAATAAAAAAAATATAATTTGTTAGTTAAATATTACTTATTAGTTATTGGCTATTGCCCAATAGTTGAAAATTGTTTAATGGTTATTTCATGAACATTATTTTGTTGAATAAATATTTAAATTTTGGAACTTTACTAATAACTGAATGTTTTTATCTGTACTTAAGTCAAAATTTATTTTATACATATATTATGAAATAAATTTTTAAGCATACTTAAACTCACTATAATTGGTAAACAATATCATATTCTATACATAATTTATTCTTATTTAAATTTGATGAACTTGAACTAGTTAAATAGTTAAAGAAATTTTACAATATCATTGTTTAAAACATTTACTCTGGTACTGGCACTAAATATGTCAATAGATAATATTTATTTAAATGTATTGAAAAAATATGTATTTATTGGTATAATACAATGTCATGGTTAAATATTTTAGTTTGTTTTAATTTAATATCATAGATATAATAAATTGTGGATACAGACAAAAATATTAATGTGTATTTATTTTATTTTTAGCTTGGCTTTCTCTTACTTGAAAGATTATCATAAAGCTGTTACATGTTACAAAAAGGCATGTGATTTAGATCCAGGAAATATTGGTTATCAAAGGAACTATCAACTTACTTTAAATAATTTACAAACAAATCCTGGATCAGGTGGGCCAGGTTCACAAAATGGAGCTTCAAATATAATGGAAACTGCAGCACGTTTGATGAATGATGCTGATGTTTCATCAGTGTATGTTATATTTTTAGTAATCTAATACATATTGCATTGGAAACTTAATATAAAATAAAATAAATAATATTAAAGTGTAAATATTTTTATTACTATAATACTGACTAATTAACAATATATTTAGGCTAAACAACATTTTGAGAGATGATGACCCAAACCACGGTGGGCTAAACAGACTTATGCAAGTGTAAGTATTAAAGTATTAGTAATTGATGCTAACAAGTTAATTTAAGAGAATTAGAAAACCAAATATGATTGTAATAATAAATAATGCTATAACAGGGGTGGCCAACTTGCAGCTCCCATCTTATTTATAAAAACCAAAATTGTAGTTATCTGGATGCTGAGTTTTTAAATTTAGAATTTCTAATGTGAGGTCACATTTAAATTTTAGAGTTGTACAATAACAAGAAGTTTCCACTAATTCTACAATTTCTTGGTTGTTTTTTTTTTTTTTTTTTGAAAAATTTTGGAGCTATTAAATTGTTGATAAATGATAGTAAGTTTTATTTAGTCATCAATTTGATATTAAGAGGACATTGCTCATATATTTGCTAAAACATGTTTATGCAAATTACACAGAAATTGTTTAATTTTGGTTTTGAAATAAAAAACCATTTTAATAAAATCAAAAAAAAATATTGGGGAGGGCAGTATTTGCAATTTTCCATTTTCTCTGAGTATAAGTTTTGCCCTTCAGAATATTGTTCTCTATTAATTTCATAATAGGTGCTTTATTCTAAAACCAAAACTAAGCAAAGTTCTATGTAGCATGTTTTTACTATATCTTGTGTTTGTAAGACACAAACAACAAATGTATGTGTAACATCCTCTTAGGTGTCAGTAGTTAAGTAGTGATACAAAAATGAATCAAGTATAAAATATTTATTTCTCAGCTCTTTATTATAATTATATATTTATATTCAATACTTTTTATTTAATTTTAGAGGACAAACACTAGTCACTCGTCTACAAACAACCAATCCCAACTTGTTAGATGGAATAAGAATGCATTTTGAAGCTGCTCAACAAGAACAGGAATCGCCCCAATCACCACCACCCCCAAATAATGGATTTTCCAATGATGAAACTCGTCCTTAAACTGATAAAATTGTTTAAGATTTAATATTGTAATACTTTTCTTTATACATACAATTTTAAAGTTAATATTATTCATTCACTTTTTAAAAAAAATTATAATATACAATTGGTGTTGTTTTAAATTATTTAGCTACAAATTATCTTTGGATTACTATACATTTCAAAGGATTAATATTTATTTGTCGTAGTTTTTTCATAGTTAAAAAAAAAAACAAATCTAGTTTTAAAATATTAATATTTAAGCAAATCATCGATTGATTTTTATTATTATTATTATTATTATTATTATTATTATTATTATTATTATTATTATTATTTATTTATGTATTATACATATACAATATACTTTTATTTGGCATAGAACTAGTAAACTGATTGGATTTTCTTATCAAACAGTGTCATCTCTCATAAATATTGTGACTATATATATTTCCTGTTTTTATTGAAACGCATTAGTATTAAATATTTATTTAGTTCTCAATATTTATAATACATCATTACATAAAAATAAAATTAATACTTAAACATTACAATTATACATTTTTTTGTTCATCATTCATCATGTCTCTTAAAATGATTTGGGTGGATTACTGTAAGAATGGTTCTATACATGGATTGAGGCACGTCATTCAGAAAGACAGAAAACCTTGTGAGAGGTATGAAATACATTCTATTATAAATATACTAATATGTTCAAATCCATATTTTTTTTCTAAATGAGATTATTATTGCATTCAGGTTTATGTGGATACTCTCAGTTGTTGTGGCTAGTATTACACTGGTAGTTTTGTTATCAGCATCATGGGAAAAGTATTCTTATTCTCCAATGAAAATTGTTGTTGATGATCCTCGGTATCCACTCGCCAAGATTGATTTTCCTGCTGTCACAATTTGTCCTATCAACAAAATAATGTATTCCAAGGCTCTCAAATTAGTTTTAAAGTATTTATAAAAATTTTTGTATCACAATTTTCATTAGCATACATTTATTACAATCATCAAAAATGTCAAATTCCCAAATACACAGTTTAGAACAATAAATTTCTAATATTTCTATAATTTATGGAATATTATGTTGATATTTTTTTATAGAATCAGGTACAGTAAATTTCCATGAAATACTTATATTTGAAAAAAAATTACTTACCTAATCTAAAAACTTATATATTTTAAAATGAAAATTATACTTATTTTTAGAGATGAGACCACTACCCACTTTTGATTTTTGAATAGCAAGCTATATTCAAAATTCCTTAAATAGATGAAGTTTTATTTGAAATACATTTTATTGTTAACATTTTTAATTCCCTTCAGGCCTACACAAATTCTTCTTTCCACCCCCTTCCCTACCAGAGTAGAATATATTTTGATTGATCTTAATAATTTGATAGAAATAAGGATAATGTAACATTTTACAATAATATATAATTCCCTCCAAAAAGATTTGAATAGTTCATGAAACCTTAAAAAAAATTAAACTCTTAAAAATTAATATTTCATGGACAATTTGACATGATATCTCAAAGTCCCTGCACAATATTATTAAGGGGTATATTATGAAAGACCAAAAGAATAGAACCAAGTTCTAATAAATAGATATAATGGTAGATAAACTAATAGTCAGTTAAAATAACCAAAATGCATGATATGATTGTGTTACTGCAAACACCTGTTTGCTCATTTATAATTCATCAGCCTTTTCTTTGAAAACTATTCAAGTTTTACATTAATAATTAATTTTTTGACCACGGATATAATCAATAGGTGGTTAAAATTATTTAATAACACTTTTTTCATTACTACAAAAATCAAGACTGTCATATTTTAGACTATAAAAATAGTTGTGTTTTAATTTTAACATCTTGATATACCTTATTGTGTGTATCATATTATTATGTCAAAAACCCAAAGTTAAATTATTTTTTTACCTATTCCATTTATGAGGTGCTAAATTATATCATCAACTCTTAATATGAATGAAATATCAATATTTTATAGGAAACCTAATTTTGTTTTATTATTTTTTTATCATTTAATATATTAATATTATTATTGATTTTGTTTAGTAAATATTCCAACAATGCTGACTTGAGAACCAAGTGGTCTAATTCTTTACAGACTCTTGGGAGGATACAGTATCCACACAATACAGATCTATACTACTTCACAAAGAATAAATCCACAATCGATATACCCTTGAAAGATATATCCCACCTCATGTTTGAAGTAAGCCATCTTTCTTTAAATTGTATAACCATAGATAATATAAGATTAATGTTACCATTGCTAATTAATGGTTATAACAATGCCCATCACATTTTCTATTCATATAGTTGGCGCCAACCATAGATGATATGTTCTTCAAATGTTTTTGGAGAGGTACTATGTACAAATGTGCAGATATCTTGCGATTTCAACGTACCGAAGAAGGGTTTTGTTATTCATTCAACAGTAAAACAGCCGAACGGAGTAAAAAGTAAATTAATGTTACTTTAATTAATTTTAATTAATGTATAATTTAAAAAATAAAAGTTGAATATACAGTTAGGTTTTTTTTATGGTCACTCATATAATATTAAGGAAGTATTAAAACTATTTTACCCTGATACTATAATAAAATGAGAGTAAATGGGAACAATTTTCACTGCTTTTTGGTAAGAATTAATTTTTTGCTAAATGTTCTTTAATATATTAAGCCTGCAGTTCCAAACATCAGTAAAACCTTACTTACCTTACTCACTTTGAAGAACATACATCTTGATAAATTGACTGTCCAATTTCTAAGATACCTATTATTTTATGAAAGATGTTAGGTATCTAACCTATAGGTAATTAATAATTGATAGAACCTAGCTATACATGTCTTATACATCTTGTTAAGTATTTAGATTAATAATTTTCAGTTCGTTTCAAAAGGTATTTTGAAATTGTGTTCCTATAGTTTCATGATAAAAGCATAGATGACCTCAAACCATGCTAGGGGGTGGAAGATTTTATAGTTATTTTTGTTTTTTCAGTTATTTGCTAGTTTGACATGATTTTTATTGATATTTTGAGTTTAAAATACAGTCTAGTATTAATAATGTTAACCAGATTTAATCATATTATATACCTATTTATAATTATTATTAACATTTATTGTACAATTAATGAATCATATTCATAAATTATAAATCATAATCAGTTGTTTACAAACAGTAAGAAAACACTCGTTATAGTAAAACCAATAGATTCTTGACACTCCGAATCTAAAAATTGTAGAAAATGAATGATTCATTATAACTTCATAAGTAAATATTTTCTAATCAATATTTTATTATATAATTATATTTATAAAATGGATATCTTAATTTTGTAAAAACAATTAAAAAAATTTAAAAAAAAAAAGGATAAGATACAATAAGATTAAAGATCAATTAATCACATTTTACATATTACTTATTACATACATATAATATGGTTCCAGGGAAAGACTTAAGTGAATTTCGTGAAAAAACATTTAAAAATTACAAATTAATTATTGAACAATTGTAAACAATTATGGAAAAAACTAAAAAGTACATAAGAAAATTGATAAAAAAAAAGTGCCAAACATTTTTTTTGTTTTTTTTCGAAAAAAGCCAATTATAGTACCAAAAATATAGATGTTTATAATTTTTATTTTCTCACCCCAGTGATAGCGAAATTAATCCTCCATTAGCCCGACTGGATGGAACGCTCATTCCACTCAGAAACAATGCTGCGAGCAAAGGGACAGGATTGAAAGTGATCTTAAATGATATGAATGAAGAATTCTTTCCAGGCGATTCACGTCGAAGAGGATTCAATGTAAGTTGTATAACTTATAAATATATGTGCCATTCACAATATTTTGTATAGTTAAGTGTCTATCAAATTATAGTTTCAATTTTTGTTTCCCTCTTTGTTCAAATTATCATTTCCATATGCCTGTCCAAAGCTTTGCTAAGATGGGACTATCTATTTTTATGTTATAACATATTACTTTATGAAAGTCACTAATAATTAAAAAAAAAAATAAACAAAAATTATAAATTACACTTCAAAAAATATAGGTACAGGCGCACAGCTCAATAGTAAAATGAGACTTATTAAAACATACGTTTGTACTGTTTGAATATAGAAAATATAGATGGAAAACACAGGACATAAATAAAACCATAAAAGGTACATTTCCCTGCCCCCATTCTTCACGTTGGTATTTTTAAACTAATTTTTAACCACTCGTTTGTGCCAGGGAAATGTACCTATCAGTACCAACGGTTCATTTTAATATTGAGCTGTATGCCTGTACCCATTTTTTTTATGGTTTAGTTTATTATCTTAACTTTTTTCACTTAAAGTCATAAAATAATAAATTATAACATAAAAATAGATATTTGTGTCTTAGTGAAGCTTTGGACAGTTTGAAACCATTTTGTTTGGTGGAATATTTTTTTAGTTTTACTAATTTCGGAAAACCTAAAATTAGTTGATGTTTACATTATTTTTAGATTAATTTGGTCATTAAAATTTCCTTTAACAGTATTCTCTCTATCAAATATTGGATTGTATATTATTTGTCTTTAAAGAAAAACACAATCTCATTATTTGTGCTTAAAATGTAGTTAGGTAGATGCTTATTAAATGGTGTTATGCAATAGTATACCTAATAAAGTTTAATTTAATATTAAATTTTTAGCATTATTTTTTATTTCTGCAATGTTTTCGATTTAGGTCATAGTGCATAATCCTGAAGCGTTTCCGGATGTGTCGACTAGTTATAAATTGCACGCTGTCCATGATCAGATCAACAGGATATCAGTGAGTGTTGCACAGGTGAAGGCGGATGATTCGCTAGGTCGGCTCAGTGATCATGACCGTCGGTGTTTCATGTATGAGTCAACGAATGGACCAAGCAGCAATGAGGACATGTGTTACAGCGAGTGTCGACTGACTACTGTCTACAAAGCGTGCAACTGTACTCAGTACTTTTTCAAACCTTTCAAAGGTATAATAATATACCTACTAGACCCATCTATAAGTTAAAGATAAATTGTTCACGACATAAAACATACAATCGAGTTTGTTTATGTGCACAGAGTAACAGTAGTGATAAAATAATTTTGCTATTGGAAAGGACAAGTCTGATTTTTTAACAAATATTATTATTTACATAATATATTTTATAAAAATGTATAGGTAATATATATAATATAATTGCATACATTTTATGTATAATTCAAATTATTAAGAAAAATAACCTCCTCAGTGCACAAATTAAAAAAAATTTGCCTTTTTAAAAAAGATGCTACATTTAATGATTACCTCAAGATTTCAGGTTAAACACAAATATCACATATCTTTTTCTTATGTTTGCAAGTACAAAAAATAAAAATACACCATCATGTAAAATTAATATATTCCTGGCTACTAACAACATTCCCAGATATTTTGAATAGGAGGAAATTCAGTAAATAACAATCACATTCATGAATAAATTATAGAATCTCCCTTTGTTATACTTACAATTAAAAAGCCAGATCCAAAAAAGACAATAATTTCTATTGATAAACTACAATTTTTTCCTTGCAACTTGACTAAAATGTATAATTTTAATATAAAATTACTAAATAAACACATATATGTGTTGTGTTTTATGCCAATAGTGAGGATATAATCTCTAATCTATCTTTTTTGTATATGTCAAAATTTAAAATAATATAATACAATTAAGATAAATATAATTCAAGAGGTATTAAAATAGAAATTAATAGAAAAATATATTTATTCATATGTAATTTATTAAATATTTTCAATTTTTACAATGCACGTTTACCTAGTTCTATGGATAAGTAGCTAAAGCAGACAATTAAAAATATTAATACTAATTTTGATAAAAATTATTTGTTACACAAATTATACATATTTTAATAGATGTCAATAAACTAGTAACCAGTGATAATAAACAATTTTGTATATTAACTTCTTCACTCGGGTTTTTTAAATTTAATTCCAGGCATTGCTTCTCATTGCGGAATTCAGCATGTGCCGTGTTTAATTGAAAATGATGGTAAGTTGACTTTTGTGCGCATACTTCTTTATTTTAACGAAATTATGGATATCATTTTAATACATTTTATTTCATGTTGATTGCAGTAATTCAACGTAATCCCCAAGCGCCAGATAATGAACCCGGATTTCCAAAATGGAGTGTACCAGTTTCTATGAACTGCAGTTGCCCACCGCCATGTTCTTTTATCACTTATACCACAGAGATACAACAAGAGATGAGGTAAGTCATAAGTAAAATATAAACCACTCCATACAGGTTGAAATTATAATGTTTTGGACCATACGTGTTAGCAGAAAATTATTATTATTATACATATAGGTAATAAACAACATCAGTGGCATAATTAAATTGAGATTTTGAGTAGTGGAGGGTGATGTATACACTTCACCTTACCTAAAACCTAAACTAGTGTTTAAATTGAAAAAATAAAATAACAGGAATTACAAGAAAAATTAGTTGAGGTACTCCATCTACATGTGTCTATATCAAGTCTTTAAATCATGTTTATGTGTAAACAATGTATATTTTCTGATTTAAATACCTGCTAACAATATTTAAAATGTATTCAGAATATAGACTAGGAATTTTGTATATGCATATGTAGTGTCTATTAAATATATTATAATAATTGAATAACATGCCACTTTCGGAAATTTTAAATGTTAATGTGGATACACAATAAAGTATTTCAGAATGTTGTAATGTAACATGTATTTGTGTTGGTGCTCATAACACTATTCATATATTATTTAGAACACCATACTGAATGTGTTGTTTGCTGTTCAATGAACAGCATTCATGCTGTTCTGTGCAATTTTTTCAACATTTTTGAAAAAATTTAATTTGATCTTCTCAAAAAATAAGAGAAATATTTCATTATATAATCCTGAAGTTAAGAAAACTATAATTTTTTTTTACAATTTACAGACATCCTATTAACATAAATCCATCTACTACTTTGATGTATAAGGTAATTCTGGAAGTCAATTACAGAGAACTATTCGCCACTAGCTATCAGAGATCCATGAAATATACTACTCAAGACTTGTTAGGTAAGCAGATATAAAAGTAAATGTTTGTACCCCCATGTTTGGCAGATTTTCTAAGGTTGTTAATATTAAATTTTTTTTTAATTTCTTTACTGTATGTATATGAAAATAGTGAATATAGGGTTTGAGTATTAAATATGTGGGAGAAGACTAGTTGGTAAGCAAAACCTGGGTTTTTTTCTTAGCATCAATCCACCAAAATGGTTTGAAAAATGCATGTATACCAAAAAACCCACTTGATTTTTTTTTATTGAAGGACCATAAGATTAATTGACAATTAACGATTTATTGTGTATTAAATAATTAAATAATTGTACTATCATGATTTAGCAACTCTTTTTTTATGTGACTAAAAATAGTTAACAATATTAGTAATAATAATAATAAGTAACAGAATATGTATTTATTTTTTTTGTTTTTGCTATTTCTATTATCTGATGATTTTTTTATCAAAACTGGTCATATTTACATTTTTAGTCTTTTTTTTTCTTTACTATATCTATAATATGGTAATGGAAAATGGAAATGAACTTAATATGTTTAAATGATAGATGTTAAGGAAAAGAAGATAAAATTAACAGCTGAACAATATGGAAAATCAAGTAGAATTCAATTTTAAAGGTTATGTCAGGAAAGCCAACATTAGTATAATAAAGATAGTAATTTGTGAGCTATCTAAAATAGCAAAATATTGTGCTAGACTGAAACAATTGTGGCTAGATGCAGTATTGAATCAATCTATACATTTTTCTGGGGGTGGGGGAGGGGAACTAAAATTATAGTAATGAACTTTTTTTTTCTTTTCTTATCTACTCTCTTACTATGACCAATCAAATTTGTATTAATTTACCTATATTTTACGGGGGAGGGGGGGGATGGAAACAAAATTTTAGGAAGGGTACCCTGTTATATACCTGAATTCAATAATACTGGCTAAAAGTGATCAAAAGAGACATAGTGGAGTTGATACCAAATTAGTATGGATATATTGTGAATAATGAGGAGGAATGGAAAAAATTGATATTAACAGTGAAGGGCTTAGGCCCTAGATAGTTTATAAAAATGAATAATGCCAGATTCAAAAAAAAAAAAAAAAAATGTTAAAAATAAACATATTGGTTTATTTTAATATTAACTAATGGTTTTCAATTACAATTATTGGGTATTGGATATATCTCCTTGAATAGTTATTATTATGCCATCAGTATCAACAGGTTTTTTATTTTTTAGAGGACAATGTAGTTTGGTGGACCTCTATTGTTCATTAACTTAAATTTTTGCTGTTTGTTTGTTAAAATAATATTTTTTTTTTTTTTTTTAACAGTGTCATTTGGAGGAATGGCCAGCCTATTCCTTGGTTGCAGTCTAGTAAGCGTAGTGGAGATTCTGTATGTAGTCTACAAGACATTGTTGGTGCTCAAACAAAATTACATCAATTTCAACATGAATAAAGTGAACACTATTAAAACTGAAAAGTATCAGCAATATCCATTTGTTTATTGATTTGTAATATTATAATCAGTGTTCAAAATGTATAGCAATTGTTTATTTTTTTGGCTTAACATTACATTTAGCAAAGGATAATGGAAATTTAACTCCTGTTGTGCATTTAAATTAATCAAATTTTAAAAGTGGTTATTTTATTTGTTCAGGTTTTTTGATGGTTTTCTGATTATTTTACACATTTTATTTTTTGATTATGTATGCTGCTAATAAAAATCCAGACTTTTTCTATGGTTTTTGAATAATTATATCTTTGTATTCTAATATTCATCGTCTTTGTTTTTGTTATGAGTGGATAAAAATCCAAAATTGTAGTTGTTTTTAAAGGATTCAAAATTTCAATTATAAAATTGTTTTTTTTGTTAATTTCAATAGTTTAAAAATATAATTCTGGTTTTTATTATTCATTTTTATCATTGACAGAGATGGATGATAAGAAGTCCAAAATTTGATGGCTATTGTACTAGAGCTATGAATTGTTAAATTAGTACCTGGAAAAATTTATTAAATAGTATAATGATTTTTTTTGTAAAATTTCACTTTATTCACACTTCAACAATACTTTAATTGAAGGTTACTGTATGTATATAATACCTTTGTATTTATTATTTATATTAGTGACCAGTAATTTTATATCTCCTGTATTTTAAGGTGGCTAATTTCTCTATTTATATGTTTTGAAGGATAAAGCTCCCCTGCTCCCTCCCTCCCACCATCACCATTGTGATTTCCTCATATAGCTATAAAGATACTTTTTAGACACATCCTTAAGCACCTTTTAGTTAATTTTAAGTGTGATATATTCTGAATTCTGATTATAATAGTATAATAATGTGTCCACACTGCACAAAAATTTACATTTTTTTTATTGTTTCTATTATATTATGATTTTAATAAATATATGTTATACTATATATATATGTATATATTATATTATCTGAGCAGAGCAAGAAATTTATTGGTTTTACAATGATGTTTATTTTTATTTAATTATATTTTTTTTTATCTGTGAACAACTTTCTACTAGTAATCTTGCACCAATTTTCAAGTGTAACATCTTTTATCTGGGTAGTACTTTATGGAGGTCATTTTTTAAGACAAAGTGAAGTCTAAGCCTAACTCTCACCTGGAATACATACAAACATATACAAATCAAATATAACATCCTAAAACTCGGATGGAAATCACTGTACTATTTGCTAGGTTATCACTCTAAACCGGGTCTCCAGACCCTGAATATTAAGAGGAGGGGTGGTCGAAATAATTAAATTTAATATTAATGATTGATAAGAAAAAAAGACTGATATACTTCACACAATGAGTGGACCTCTGTTATAGTTGGGAAGGTAGTATGTTGAAGAAAATTGAATGTATATCTGTACTTAAACAAATTTAAGTTTTGCCAACAAAAAACGGTTCTGAGAGAAACTCGGTTAAAAGAATTGCTCAGGGCGTCTTTGGGTCAATTCTATGGAAGAAGGGTGGTGAACAATTTGTATTCCTAGAAACCACAGCTTTGGTTAACAAAAACTTAAAACCTTTATGTCGGATATCATTTCAACTTATATTAGCTTAAAAGACTACAAATATATTGTACAAATGCAGTAAAACAGTACAATTTAAAAGTCAAATTAATTTTGTTCACATTAAATAAATAATAATTAAAATAATGATAATATGAATAACAAAAAAAAAAATAATAATAATAATAAATAAAAGTTAGATGACCAAGTCCAAAATACTTTTATTTTAAGCAGCTTTGCAAGGGGTTTCATCAACAATATTTTCTATATTAATATTTTCATTTTGATGAATATTGAAAACTGATAAGGAAACCTAACTTAACTGAATACAAATTACATTCAAAACTCTCTAAATTAAAATGTCTATAAATTGCTAAAAAATTCAAGAAAATAAAAGGCAAATATAAGTTTTCTGTCCAAATTTTAAATTTCTTAGAATACACTTAACTGAATTACAACAAAAAACAAAATTAAAAATAATAAAAGCATAATTTTTGTAAATTTTCCCATTTTTCTTATGTTTTATACAGGATTTCCCTGCTATTATGATAACTGCTTGGAAAATCAAAAAAAAATAACCTTCCTAAAGTATTATCTAGTCATTATGACAATATTTTTTTTCGGAAAATGTGCTACACTTACTTACATATTGAAACAAGATTTCTAATAAGCATTTTTGTCACAGTTTAAAAAAAAAAAAAAAACATTTTAAATCCAATAGGTACATTTTTTGCTACACTCAGAATCTAAAATTTAAACTAAATTAATCATTTCCAATTTCGATTCTAATAATATATTAATTAATTATATCTTTGCAAATTCTTTGTTTCACTTTGTTTTCCATAATTATTCTATCTCACCCTTGAGAATATTTATTGAAATTTATAAATGAGAAGCGTTTAATTCTTGTTTCAATCAAAATATTTCCAAAATCCAGAATCATATTTATGGCATTTGAAACCAGTTGCATTTAAGATATGCATATTTTGCATAACAAAAAACCAAAAAAAAGAATGGAGGAAAAATTGGATCCAATTTAATTATGGAATTGAAATAATCAGAATTTTACCATAATATGGTATATATATTGTTGACAAAGCAGCACTATCAACTGAACTCCACTCAGAATCGTTTTTCGTAAACAATTGTTTACTTTTGCTTACAGGTGTACATTAAATTAGTTATAACACTGTTTACACCCAACCCCATTATCCAAAAACCGTCTTTTTAAATTCATGTTTTGAAATATAACAATTAATAGTTATTTAAAAACGATGGATTAGTTATTATTTCTAAACGATGTATTGAACATTATATCTGGAATATTAATCCCTTTATAGGAATCCCTTCGGAATATTGTCCTCTTTTAATTTTATATTAGATGAATTTACCCTAAAATCAAAGTTAAGCGGGTTCGTTAATAGGGTGGTACCATTTATATATATATGTATAAAAAGAATATAAAAGAAATCATTATAAATGTTTTACTTATCGGGTAGGCGGTTGAATACTAGTATTTATAAATCAATGGTTCTACATGGCCTACTTGAGGTAGATTTTGCTAAATTGCCCGTTAGATGAACTGAGATTGCATTGAGTATATAACGTCCTTCTAATTTGTTTATTTTGAGTGTGACATTATATAACATTTCACCACTAAAAAAAAAATAGCATAAAAATGCTAATGCAATAATAAACGTTACAATACTATAAATTATAATATATACTGTGACACATAAAATAAAACAACTTACCTAATTACTTTAATAAATATTTTATTTTATATTTATTTGGTTTTTGAATAGTTTTCTTAGGTCTTTAATCTATATATTAGTGACCATAGGCATAGTCAACCCAGTTTTGTTGTTTTTTTTTTTTTTGCGGGGGTGTGCAAAAATGTATTAAAGAGGATCAAGGATTTGGTGGTTGATAAGAAAAAACAGATCACCACCAAATTAACCTCAGCCTACTGATGACAAATTCATTAATCAAGCCCTGATTATTAAAATTATATGACTTAAGAAAAATGCTCAAAAATTGAATACTAGGTACCTACGTTATTAGTTGTAATAAGTGGTCTAAAATCAAATTTAAGTTTATTGCATTAGTTTTTTTTTTCATAAGCGTGTTTTTAGATCAAATTTTGATGAAAATAATAGGTAGTTTATCTTTGCGTATAAATATAAATTAAATAACTTTAAGTATCCTTTTTTCTCAACTTCCTACCTACAATCACTGGCTACACCAGTCCCCAGTATTAGCTCTTTTAAATTCTGAGTGGAGTGAAGAAAAGCTTATATGTTTTACAAAAATGTTTAACTTGTTTTTTCTGTGAATAACTTTTGCTCCGCTTTATAATGATAGTATTTTTTCTGAAAGAGAATCTAACTAGAAACGTACTTTAAAGAGGTCATTTTTTTAGTTTCTCACTAGTTTTCCCGATAAATGGGAAAAGCGTAGGTAAAATGGTAAAATAGGTACAATGTTAAGCAAATATTATTAAAGAAAATATTTACTAATGCCTATGCACTTATTTTACCATAATAAAATATATATTGTTGACAAAGCAACTATAAACATTATAAACTAAACTCCACTCAGAATCGTTTTTTCGTTAACAATGGTTTATCGTTACTTACACATATACATTTTTCCTCTACTACCTTCCCTGAAACTTCTCCCCTACAACAGTGGCTGCACCTAAATGCAAAGTTGCCCGGCTTTTTTAATTTTAAATATTAAAATATTTGATAACACAATTTTGTTTCGGAAATTCATAAAACTTATAGATCTCCGATAGGTAATATAGATATTTCGGTATATAAATAATATGAACATCCCGTCGGGGGTGAACGATTATATTTCCCTATATTTCAGGGACTTGCCCGTCACTCCATTATATTGGAAAATCTCGGGTACGCCACCGTATTGTATTGTTGAAACTCGGTCACGATATAAAAAAAAAAAAAATGTTGACGGGTCGTGAAAATCGTTATTCATGGGCGTGTCAGCGATGTTGCGGACGCCGTGTTATTGATTAAATCGTATATAAGCGCGAGCGCGCGCGCGGCGAGGCGTCTTAAAAATACGGGTAGGTGGTTACCCTGCTAGCGGGGAAATTCGACTACACCATGGCAACCGCCGCCGGGAGGTATTTTTCAGTAGCGCTGCCTACACGGCCACGGAACGTTTCGCATTTCGCGATAATTCATATTTTTGTCCGCCTATATTATTGTAAATAATACTGTCGTTCGTGGTTGTGTTAATCTGGCCGCGTATCGTCAAATATACGCGTATAAAAGTCCTCTGTACAACTTTTATTGAACCGTCGCTATCCCATTAAAGTTTTTCGTTCATAAAACGGTAATGATTCAAGTATAATGGTTACAATGTATACGGTGGTTGCCGAATACCAGCTTTAGTGTATTTATAATCGGATTATTTTTGTTTTTGGCGGTCAACCGTGGAACAGCAGCCGCAGTCGTCAATAATATCGTACATAGCTTCGTTTACGTTTCCCTGACAATAATATTGTATTGGTACACTCGATAATAATTGGTTCTAGCGTTGATATTTTATTACATTAAAACGATTTCTGATTTAGGTATTTTTACAGACATTAAATGACGGATGGAGTCACACGTTTGTTCACGATGGTTTTACATTTTGACCTCGCCGATCGATACTGCAGCCGCAGCGATGCCGCGGGTAAGCATTTCGTGTTTTCTGTACCTAATATTATTTTTAAAAATGTATATGTGGATAGCTATTCGAAAACAAGCAGCTGCTATACGATTAGAATAACTATTTTTAAGTTGCATAGATAATGAATAAAGTGGCGTATCCCGGGGGGGGGGGGTAAAGAGAACTGCAGCCTCCCCAAAATGTTAAGAAAATCATAAAGTATTGTTTTAAATGTACAGTATAATATACTATAGTAAACTACAATACATGATATGTAAATGATCGCTCCTTACCCCCCCCTAAAAAAAAAAATTTATTTCTTGATACGACGACGCTAACTGGATATATATCTATACAAAAATTAAAATTTAAAAAAAATCGTTTATCGCTAAGATTTTTAACGCTATTTAGCTATTTAGGATGAAAAATAATGTTAGGTACTAGCTCGATGTAATATACAGTCTACTTATATCATAATATATAATATTATAGTATATGTGTATGACTATATACATCAATGTTAAATTCAGTAGATATAAGTATTTATGATTATAGTTTCGACTGAGCAATATTTTGGAAAACAATACTTGAATAATATATTTATAGTTTCGACGTCATTATCGATTTTGCGTACTGCTGCGGGCGTGTATTTTATCCGAGACGCGCATTCTCGGCGATGTATTTTTCCTACCTCATGCCTCTACTTGAGGGGAGTGGAGGAATAGAATGGATCGATCTGTGGGTCGGAAAATGATAAAAACCCAATGATACCGTTGCGGGCGAGCGGCAAGGATCCGGTGACTGAATTTACAGTGCGCAACTGTCCCAGGCAATATAATTATATACGTATAGGCATTTTTATTTTTCTATACTTATATTATGATATTTTACAAATCCAAAACAAATAAAAACGTTTTCCCCGTCATTATACCCATCACTGCTGCTGTTAACCGTCGTTGCCCTTAAGTTTTCAAAAATGCATTTTCTTTAATTGTCTTTTTCAACTTATAAGTTATAACTTATAAGCAATGAAAAATACCTATAAATTATTATTTTTTATCCAACCCAAACTACTGCAGGTTAGGTCTACTACTTCTACTACTTAGATCGAGGATTTCAATACCTAAAAACTTTCTCCGCGATATACTCTAACATTTAAAAATAAACTGCGTGACGGTTCGATGATTAAATTCTGAGATAAAAAAAGACCTGTTATTTTATATATAAAAGGATTCAGGTCACGATCAAATTATAAGATGTATTAAACGATGGAGGGAGGAAATTAAATAAAATAAAACATATAAACACAAACAAAGAGATATACAAATCCGGGTCGAGATAATCCGGGACGTAAAATAATTAATTTCGGAACGTAAGATCTGGACTGTAATTTTCCGGAAGAATATAAATAATTTCTAAAATATAATACTAGTTGGTAGTAATCAAGATGGATTAATTAATTATTAATCCACCTTGGTAGTAATAGTATTTTATGTCTATGGTCAATAGTAATTTTTTATTGTCATATAGGTACACTATATAATAACATCTATGCAATGTAATAATCTTAGGGTGACTGCATGCTGGTAAAGGAAATTTGATTGAAGACATTTTAGTCATGTTTAGTCATTTTACATTTAGTTATAATAAAGTATTATGATCGCAAACTAGGTAGTCAAATCAAAGCAATAGCAATGCGTGGATAAGATTTCCGGGGATACTTAACTGTTGTGTAACTTGGTTATTAATTATATTATATATTTTTACTTGAAATATTAATACGTCTACCTATTTATTCAATGGCGTATCCGATTAACTTAGTTTTTTAATTTACATCTTTCATTATAAGTAAATGAATGAAAACCGTTGTAAATTCATCTAATGTAAAATTGTACAATGTTTTAATTCCATATTTTTAATTTTTAATAAAAAAACGTGACAAGTTTACGGCGCATTATATAAATGTACGTAACGAATATGGAATAACGTGTCGCCCGGTGGCAGAGACTAGTCTCATGGACTCAAAACCATTATTGCTGTGATTCCCCTCCCCCTGAACTTTTATTTACCTCATATCTGTTAGAATAGAGACTGTCGATCGACCATCCTATATTAGGACCTTGAAAGAGCGCGCACACCGGATACGTTACGTTACGTTCCGTCTCTATATGGCTCCTGGACGATTGGAAACGTGACGTGATGGAACGTAGAGAAGGCGCACACTAGATACGTCTTCAGTCTCGCTCGTGTTGTTCTCCTAAAGGGTCATTGTTAAGTATTTTTCGTTGTGGTTAAAAGTTAATTTTACCAAATTAAAAGTTATTTTATTTTATTGGAATTTTCTTTCAATGGGGAACTCATAGTAATGTGTAGTATTGCAGAGGAGGAAGAAAAAGGGAGAAAAAAACGGTTATGGGTTCATAATATTAATACAAAAAGAAACAAGTATGGAGAATTTCATACATTATTTCCAGGCCTTCTTCGGGATGAGTCAAATTTTTTCAAATATTTCCGGATGAGTTCTCAAAAATGTATACAATTTTATAAAAAAAAAATATACATACATATTCATATATCGTATTAAAAATAATTTTTGACGTACATAGCAAAACAAAGTAATTTCACGTTGCAATGATTGATGACTATATAGTGGCTAGTGTTTTCCGTCGTCCGTAAATTTTGCAATTATCAGAAACCTATCTGTCACCTTACGATTCCAAAATGTTGCGTTACTTAACATGTCGTAACCGGTGTGCGTGTGTTCATAAAAATTAATGTTAAGTCAAGCTTTCCGTTCGACAAAAGCCACGTTTTGACATGGCGGAACGTAACGTAACGTATCCAGTATGCGTGCTCTTTCATTCGTTTTACGGCCATGTCGTCTGTCATTATCACTAATATAGAAAATATCTCAGAACGTAGGATATGTATGAATTCATACTATACACTATAATATACTCTGTGGTATACACACATCACGATTGAAAAAATATTTATACACACATACAATACATATAGTAAATAAGTAAATTTACACATAGATTACTCAAATTACTTCAAATCATTAAAAAAAAAATGAAAATATTTTTTTATGCCATGTTATAATTATTGAGGAGAATCTGTCTCAAAATTTCCCCTGACACACCGCCACTAAGTCAACCCAAATAAAAAAAAACAACATTAAAAAGTAGAGATTCTAATATTCTATTGAATAATGTTATAACTATAAATATCTTTTTAAAAAAATACGATTTTTTTAATCTGATAAATCTTAAAAATTAAAACGGATAAATACGGAATAAACTTGAAATAAAGGGACAAAGCCCCGTATAACTTTTGTCAGGACGCGGGACACAAAGCCGAAATACAGAACGTATGGTCACCTTACCATGTTGACATAAAGTTTATTTTCTAGCTTGAAAAAAACGCAGTATACTTATTTTAGATTTACATTAAACATATTATAATGATTATCATTAATAATATCATATAATCATTAACACAGACATCAACAATTAATATATAGATTCAAATTTCAATTCAAAATTATATACAAATATAATTATATAATTATATTGTATATAACTTACTATAAATAAATCATGTTTGACATAACTTTTATATAATTATCCAGCGACAGCTTGATTATGATTAAACAAAATAGTGCACGTTATTTCAATAAAACAATATTAGTCATGACTGAAAATAACATTTTTTCGTTTTGACTACTCTTTATGAGTGTGCGTGTTTTCCATAAAATATAAATGTTATAATTTTGATTAGTCACAATAAAGCGACATTAGTCTATATAACTCAAAAGAAAATAAAAAGAACTAATTCTGAGAACAGATGCGGCCACTATTGTGGGGGGCTAGTGAGGAAGGTGAGATACATACATTTATTAAATTTGATTATACCTATAACTAATGCTAAACTATTAATTCGTAATCAAAACGATTCGAAACGAAGTTCGGTTAAACATGTTTTGAAAGTCTGTAATATTTTCGATTTTCGTCAAAATTTGATTTTAAAATTTATAAAAAGACGCCCTAGTATAATGGAGACGGGTGCATCCACTTTTATAGGTAATTCAATGTATATATGTAAGCAACGATAAACCATTGCTATCAAAAAAATGATTCTGAGTGCAGTTCAGTTGATAGTGATGCTTTTTCAACAATATATATGTCATATCATGGTAAAATAATTTAATAGGTATTATATATTTTCTTCAATGATATTTGTTTTATATTGTACCGATTTTATCATATTTTTCCTATTTATTGGGAAAACTCCTGGGAAAATCGAAAAATTACTTCTCTAAAGTACCTTCCCTCCCAGTCAGATTTCCGTTCAGAAAAAGTGCTATAATTTTAAATCTGTAGAAAAGTTATACACAGAAAAAAAGGCCATAATTTTTTTTTACTTACACCTACATTTCGTACATTTTCCGTTATTCCGGCTTTTCCTAAATATTATGAAAATCTGAAGGGTATTTTGCGATTGAAATAGTCCGAAGGAGTGATGGCTTGGGTTTCTAGGTACATCCAAAATGCATTTGTTTTTTTCCTTATTTAGGTAAAAGGGAAAAAAAAGCAAACAATTTTTTTTCGGAACACTGATTTGAACTTGGAATCCTGAATGATAAAAGTCATAAATAACCATTAGGTCATGAAAAATAAATTTAGTGAAGGACAATATAAAGTTATTTAAGTTACATATAATATCTGAATAATATCAGAACTTTAAAAAGCTATAATTTCGAAACTTAATTAGTCCGCTTGGTTCTGACTTTACCATCGTTCTTAAATTGGCAATATGCATAAGTTCAAAAATAAAAAAAATTAAAAAATTATATTTGTTCCATATAATTTTTTCATCAAAATTTAATATTATAATTCCCTTATAAAAAAAAAAAAAAATACTACATTAAACTCATTATTATTTTTGCCACAAAATAAGAATCTTAATGAACCCCCTGTTAAATTTTGAAATATTTCTGATCTAGTCTAACAATTTTATCACACAGTACCTACCAAATAAAAATTGTGTACAAAACTCCCAAAACTAAAATATCTATAAATAACTTAAATATTTTGAATATTTTACTACGTCTAGAAAAGGCAAATATAAGTTTTTGTCCAAATTTTAAGTCCATATAGTCGATACGAATATTTTTAACTAAGTTTCAACAAAAATATTAAAATGTTTATAAAAAGCATAAAAATAACTCAAATGTTTTGAAAATTTTACCTCGTTTAGAAAAGGTAAGTATACATTTTTTGTCCAAATTCCAAATCTATAATAATATTTTTAACTAAATTACAATAATCAAATCATATAAAATCATTATTTTCATAAATTTCTCGTTTTTCTTACGTTGTATCTTAATTTTTTCCAGATATTATGAAAACCGCTTCGAAAATCAAACAATAACCTCTTAAAAGTTCCATCTGGCCAGCATTCCCTTTTAGAAATTGTGCCGCGCGTGTATATCTGAGCAAGATTTCTGGTAGAATTTTTGTACAAATGATAAAAAAATTTTAAAAAGGCCATATTGAAAGCTAGGTTGTTCTAGAATTAGTTCATTTCAACTCAGTTCAGAATTAGTATTAAAAGTAGAAATAAATCTTTGGAATGCTAAATAGAATGAAATAGAAACAAATGTTTCTCATACTGCTGTTACATCACTCCCATATTGTAAAGAATTTTTTCAAAATCCTCATACAATTATTTGCTTCCAGTCTCCAAAATACAAACCATTGAAAGGTAATTTTCTATTTTACGCCCCTTAAAAAAATTAAAAAATTACATGCGCTCTACAATGACTCAGTCTAGACTGAATGGTTTAGCTCTATTAAATATTTATATAGATAAACATATAGATATTAACTTAGTCATCAATGAGTTTACTATAAAAAACAAGAAAAGAAGCATGACATTTTAGAACTAGCCAATCTAACTGTTAGCTATTCAAATATTAAATTGCATGCATTTTATTCTTATGAATTTATTAAAAATTAATGAAATGTTTAATTAATCTTTAAATACAGTTATGTATGTTAATTAATAACTATATATTGAATTGTTTATCTTATGCATCCAAAATAAATACACATGGCAAGACTAATTTTCCTACCCTTTTTAGCTTCAAATTTTTTTATAATAACTAATAAGTATCTTAGGATCATTATAAGCGAACTAGCACCCACCATAAAAAAAATCCTAGATCCACCACTGCTATCAGTGGCTATGGGTTAAAAAGAACGAACTTGATCAATTGCTGAGCCATTGATTATAAATATAGTTTTATCAATTGGACATATTAAAATTGTAGTAATACAAAAAATAGGAAAAATAAAAAGGGGAACAAATAAGAGGAGTTAAAAGAGGTTTGAACGGGGGAAATATAAAGAGAGTCGTGGTTAGGGGGATAGTAGTAGACTTAGGAATAGAATATAGTTAGACTAGACTATAGAGTATAGACCTAAGTATAGAAATAGAAGACAAATATATTATATTATATATATTTTTTTGGTTATTCCCAATTATATTTGTTTAACGTTGTACTGATTTTCGGAAAATCGAAAAATGACCTCCCTAAAGTATCTTCCCAGTCAAATTTCCTTTAAAAATAATTGCTATCATTATAAATCGGATTGCTTGTAGAAAAGTTATTTACAGGGAAAAAGAAGACCGTTATATATTTTAACTAATACCTGCATTTCTTATATTTTCCTATTTTTCCTATGTTTTTTCGGTTTTTCAAATTTGATGAAAAAACTCGTGAGAAAATCGAAAAATGACCTTTTTAAGATAAGTACCACCCTAGAAAAATTTATTTTTAGAAACATTGCTATCATTATAAGTTTGAGCAAAATGCTGGTAGAAAAGTTGTCCATGTGAAAAAGAAGGCCATAATATTTTTAACTTATACTTACATTTCTTAAATTTTCTCATTTTTCTTCAATTTTTTTTCAGTTTTTACATTTGATGTGAAATCCTTTGATAAAATCGAAAAATTATCTCTTTAAAGTACCTCTCCGCCTCGACTTCCTTTCAGAAAAGGTGCTACACATAAAAATTTGAAGTTTGAAGAAAAAAGTTGCGCATAGATAAAAAAAAAAATAAACATCTTTATAAAACCATAATCTTCTTCGCTCAACTCAGAATCTAAAATACATTACACTAAATTTTATTTTTTGAAACAAATTGTTTTTATTTTTTCCTGTTACCTACCCGTCAAGGTTTTACAAACAAATTTTCGGAATCGGGTTTGAACTCGCGACCTCTGAGATGACAACAGACACATACCACCACTAGAATACGGTAGACATACTGAAATATTGACATTATTAAGTTACATTTTAACATAACACATATAATATCCACATAATATTAGAACTTTAAAAACCTCTATTTCGAAACTAAGTCAGTACGTTCAATTCTGACATCACCATCGTTCCTATATTTACAATATACATTGTACATGTGTTCAAAACAAAACAAATTGAAAAATTTGCATGAACCAGTAACTAAAGTAAGATCAAAAGAGTATGATTTAGATCGTTGTAAGAAGAACGGTGAACACAATATAGTTATCAAATATATTAACGGCGTCCCTTCCACTGCTCAGGCAAATAAGAATTTTTCTTTTAAACAAACTGCTCATCGTCATGCCGTCCCTCCTAAAACCTAATTTGCCTGGATGATAAACTAAATATCTGTAGTGACGACGGATCATCAGTATACCTCAATGATCCTCGATGGTCTCGTGTTATTAACTATACATATAAGCTTAGTTGGATAGCTTAATTAAACTTGAATTTAAAGACATTTTAAATTTGTATGCAGACATATTAAATGATTGTTCTGATTCTGTTTTAAGTCACCAAATGAGTTTTGAAGAATTATACTTATGGTATCAAAATTGTGATTATCAGGAATCAGTCAAACATAATAAAAGATCTGTAATAGATAAGTACTTTCCATGTGATTTTCAGATGTACCCAGTTATCTCAAAATTGTTACAAATTTTAATAACATTGCCAGTAACAACTACTACAGGAGAAAGACTGTGTCGCTACAAATTTAAGAAACGTCATAAGACAGCAGAGACTTAATGGAATGGCCACTTTAAACATACATACAGACATTGAAGTTAAACCTGATTCAGTGCTTGATGAAATGGCGAAGCACTCTATTCAAAGAATTAATCTTAGATCGTAAATTATTATTATTATTATACTATACTATGACTTATGAGTAAAGTATATTTAAATACATAATTAATATAAGTCTAAATTGTTTTCCAATATGAGTTGTCTATAAATGAAATTAAAAACAATTTAAAGATTTTACTCATAAACGTAACTTAACCAACCTTACCCCCTCCACCCCACCAAATACCATCCGAAATTACATTTTTTTTAAATTTGCAACACTAATCCCCCCCCTCCGAAAATAAATTTTGGTTTCGCCACTAGTTTAATCATTATTAATGCACCACTACTCTCCTCTTCTCTGACCCAAATTTAAAAGTAGAATATCTCGTCAATAAGTTGACGGAAATCATAAATTTGAACACCAAAATTTATTTTAACTATTACTCAATCTATTTATGGAATTTATAATATAGGATGCGAATTGAAAATCAAAAGTAGAGAGTGGTTTTCCACCCAAAAATAAGGATGAAAAAAATAACATAAATATTTTATTGCAAAGCTGCTTGTTCCTTAATATGTTGTGTTAATGTTCTATAAAACAAATTTCAAAATAATTTAATATTTTCTGGGATAATGAGTTTACCCACCTTGGACGTAACTAGGATCCTCAAATGAATAGGGCTTAAGTCCAAAAGGACTACTGGTCTAAATAATAAAAAAAGGGAAATCTATTTATAAGTCGAAAAATACCAATATCAAAAAAAAAAATATATTATTTATTATATACATATATTTTATAAATTATACATTTTTAGTGATATGTATATATTTGGATGACGTGGCATAATTGTACCCGGCACTCACATGGCTACACGACGATGAGTTTGGGTAGCAGTCCGTTATAATATGCTATCAACTGATCAAAGTTTATGGAATATTGGAACTACTCGATAGTTTCAAATTATCAATTTACTCTGTTGTTTCTAAAAATCAATCATTTGAAACTATCGAAACTATCACCTATACTATCGAAACTACCGAATTATCGAGTAGTTCAGTCTATTGATAATATCTATTCAGTCAACAAAATACTCGGTTCTTTTTTAAACTATCGATAGTCAAAACTAGTCGGTACTATAAGTACTACTGAATGAAAACTATCAACTAATTATTTAATAGTTTTCAAAACAATTAATCCATGAAAATATCTAGTCAATCGATAACTAGGTTGTTTTTTTTAAACTATCGATTGATAAGCGTTAGTCAAAACTAAAAGGTTCTGCCCATTACTAATTAGAACGTTAAAACGAAAATTCAATGAAAACTCACCTATATATTTGATATTATTACTATTATTATATTTTTAGCTATTATCATTGATTATAAAAACTACACAATTCTACGTATATTATCATTGGTTATAAATTATATAATTTATTATAATAAAGATTACCTATATAATAAAATATCTTATAGGGAGGTCTTAAGATAGCTCAGAGAGAGCTAAGCCCTCCTAAGTCTCTTACAGACGCAGCTCCACACGAAACTACGTATTAGTGACCAAACTTGCAAATTTACACAAAGAAATGAGCGCGTTAGGTATATAATTGTAGTGTGTACTACATGCGTAGCTTAATTATTGTGTTGTGTATAAGAACTATAGTTATGTTTCCCACTTCACATTAGGCTTTTTTTATGATATCCCTACGGGAATAGGCAGGAAGCTGGTAGCTAAACAGTTCTAGATGTTTTTCCACTTCTCCCACAAGTTTAATATTTAAAATGTGTGAATTTATTTTGAACATATTATAATTATATTATATGCGATGAATATTATTATATAGTTAAATAATAATCAAACAAAACGAATGGAATGACACAATATAAAAAGAAAACTGAAATAGCTTGGATACTGGGGAGTTGCGTCGCTCTCAACTAGTTAACAACAGACAAGTTACAGACAGGTAGTGTCGTGTGTGGAGTTCGATTACGTTGCTAGCAACGCAAAACAATTTTATTAGTACCTAACTAGAAAGTAAAATTACTAATCGGTTTTATTTCGGTATCTCCATGTATGGAGGGCTAAAGTAGTTAAGTGCAAAGAATGGCTATTATATTAGGCATTGCCTAAAAAGTTTCATGGTACAAACTAGAAATTAATAAAGAAATTGATAACGTGTATGAATGTCGACGAACCTACTTAGTTGTCTGGCCCGTTTGACTGTTTAGGCAACAAGATTATATCTTATTTAGTAATAAATATCTAAATAAAATAATAATAATTAAAATCCATGCCTCGAAATGTTGACTGTATAACACTATAGCTACTATAGTTATTTACTTTTTAAGTTCGTTGTTTTTACTATTACTCAAAATTCACAGTTTATCAAAGAATGAATTATGTTAAATTTGTTTATAATTTCATTATACTTTTACAGATATGCGCATTATTGGTGAAGTACTGTAATGTATAATATATCAACATTCTTGATTTTCATAAACAATAATGGTAGGTAATTTAACATTTTTTTTGAAAATCTAGGTAAATAATATATATAGGATTTTGGTAATCTAAAATAATATAAAAATAATGATAAAAAAGATATATTTCATTAGACGGGTGGGTCACGGTTGTAGGTGAGAAGGTAGGATATAGAGGGGGATTTAATGTAAATCTATACCTAACGATTACTAACGACAGCATTGCTAACGAAAAACGATTTTGAGTTCGACTAACCATATTTTGTAAGGCCGTAATATTTACGATTTTCGTCAAAATTTGATATTAAAATTATTATAAAAAAATTTATATTACACTAAATGTTTTTTTTTTTTTTTTTACCACAAAGTGTACGACTTATAATGAACCTCCTGTTAAATTTTTAACGTAAAAACTCGCAAAATTAAAATGTCTATAAATAGCTCAAAAATAGCTGAAATGTTTTGAAAAACTTACCGCATCTAGAAAAGGCAAATATTAGTTTTCTGTTCAACTAAATCACAACAAAAAACAGAATTGAAAATAATACATGACGTACATTTTTCCGTTTCTTCTCGATTTTTCCAATTTATTATGAAAACCGATTGTAAAATCAAAAAATGACCTTTAAGTCACCCTTATAAAATTCTTTCAGAAAAGATACTACACGTGAAATGGGAGCAAGATTTTTGGTAAAAAAGTGGTTTACAGAAAAAAAAAAATATCATTTTAAACCAATACATTCATCGCTTGGCTCAGAAACTAAAATTACCTAAACAATTTTCAAAATTATTAAAAATGTATTAATATGTTCGTAAATAATATAATGAAAATAAACGCAGGATAAAATAGGTGGAGAGGAAGACTGTTAAAGAGATGATTGGATGCGATTTAGAATGATATGAGGAGTGGAAGTTTAGAACGAGGGTGCCGACCCCAAATAGTTGGGATTAAGGCGAAAGAGAAGAAGAAGAAGAAAAAGATTAAAAAGGTATTAGTTATTTATTTCAAAACACTTTTATTGTTAATGTCATTTTAATCTTGTTTATTATATCGGATTTACAAGATACATCCAATGTATAAGTATAATATTCAACAAACGTTTATATGGGAGTATATTTTGTAATATCTCTAAATTTATATAAATGTCTGTACACGGTAAATCTAATAACAACAAAAACCCTCAACTAATATTATGAATAATGAATGTAAATATTTCCTTTGAAATATAAAATTTAAGAAAAATGACAAAAAAAAATGAATTTAAAAAAAAATTATACAATTTATAGACATAGTCCGAATCTATGAAACATAAAATAAGTTTTTGTTAGCATACCTTTGTATAGGATTATAGAGAAAAAAATGCAAGTCATGTCATTAACATCCTATTTCAACCATCCATTAATTAATTATAATATTAACCTACGGTTTTTTTTTTTTTTTTTAGGTAAATTTCAAAATATTACAACCAAATTGAACATTGTCTTCAATCAACAAACTATAATACTATATATACAAAACACATAATCCAATATGTTATCCTTAACTCGGTTGAGTTATATAGCTTGTAACGAATCCTGTAAACACCAGTACAATGCCAAAGCGGAAAATGTCGTGAAAGTTACCATAGACTTGTGTTGTGAGAAATTGTTAGAAATCACTAGAGGAAACTTGAAAATCAAACCGAGACGTCTCGTATCCGATGTATGTACGGTAGCTGCGGCCAACGGCCATTTGGATTGTTTACGGTTCGCCCATCAGATCGGGTTACCCTGGAACAGCGGTACGTGTACAGCCGCTGCGAGAAACGGACAACTGCAATGTTTGATTTATGCCCACGAGAACGGTTGCACATGGACCAAAAATACGTGCACCGCAGCCGCAAAGAATGGCCATCTGTCATGTCTGATGTACGCCCATGAAAATGGGTGTCCGTGGACGAAAATGACGTGCATCTCAGCTGCTAGCAATGGGCACTTAGCGTGTTTAGAGTACGCTCACCAGAATTCCTGCCCGTGGGATAAATCCACGTGCAATTGGGCTGCAAAAGGAGGTCACTTCGATTGTTTGGCCTACGCACATAACAACGGGTGTCCGTTGGGCAACCGCACTTGTACGATAGCGGCTTACTACGGTAACTTAAGCTGTTTGGAGTACGCACATACCAACGGTGGTCGGTGGAACACGAACACGTGTGCGAATGCTGCCATGATGGGTCACTTGAACTGTTTGAGATACGCTCATTCGAATGGTTGCCCTTGGAATGAAAACACGTGTACATATGCCGCCAGTAACGGCGAACTAGAATGTTTGAGGTACGCCCATGAAAATGGGTGTCCCTGGAATGACTCGACATGTGCAGATGCCGCCAGCAATGGCGAATTGGAGTGTTTGCGGTACGCCCACGAAAACGGGTGTCCATGGAACGAAGACACATGCATGAACGCTGCTACTAACGGTCAAATAAATTGTCTCAAATACGCCCATGAAAATGGGTGTCCTTGGGATGAAGACACTTGTTCTTCTGCAGCTCAATTCGACCGATTAGAGTGTCTGATGTACGCACACACCAATGGGTGTCCATGGAGCGCACATACGTTTTTCGGAGCAGCCTCAAACGGACACTTGTCCTGTTTGAAGTATCTTTCTGATAACAATTGCCCGAAGATAGCGTACCAATAGGAGGTATATTTGAATCATAAAAAACCGGGTGGTTGAGTAGTAGGTGCCTGGGTATTCAGGAATATAACAAACATTATGTTTTTGAAACAGAAGTCATTAAAAGAATTTTAAACTATACAAATATGATAAATTTCATTAAAGACCCTCAATAAAACTTGGTTTTTATCCCTGATTTGTAGATTTTGGCGTATTTTTGGTAGGGGTGGGTGGATGAGTGAATGGCAAATTCAATAGATGATTCAATTTAAAAATACTTTGCACTGGGTACTTTGGTAGTTTACAAAAGCTCAACATTTGTAGAGTCCAGAGCTCAACAGTTATAAGCTTAACAATTTTGTAAATAAATATTATGGAAGTGTAGAGTATAAAGATACTACCTATAAAAACCATTTTTTTTTTTTTTTTTTAAACATTTCTAGCCCTTTTTATGATCTAATTCATTACATAGCAGTATAATGTTAGTATTATTTATTTTTTATAATCACTAGTTAATTGAAACACTGGTTGGTTTTTATATATATATATATATAATCCTAATGCTACCAATTTGTTTAAACTATTTTATTGTATGTCTATTATACAAAACAGAAAGGAATAAAAATGTAAAACATTTTTAAAAAACACATAATTAACTTACCTACCAAGTATATATTGTATTTTGTTAAATCAGTTTTTTTTTTTATGTCTAATATTCATTTAACACTTGATATTTTTTTTTTAATACATAGACTTTTTTAATGTTCCATTTTAATGGCACGTTTTTTTTACTTTAAGTCTATAAAATAAATCAATTATTTTTATTTTCTACAAACTCTGTAAATTTAGTTTTTGGTTTATTTTATATTGTGATATATTTTTTAATCTTATAATTTCGATGACAATGTACATTATTACACCAATAAAATTAATTTTTTAATTTTGTTTCATTAATACCTAATCAATTTTCTTTTAGCCTTGCTGGAAATATACTTATTTATGTGTTTTGATTTGTTTTCTGTGTCAAGTATTAAAACCCAAAATATTGTATAATTTTGAATGGTTTTATATTTTCTGTCTAAATTATGGATAATTATTGAATATGTTATACAACTATTATTAATGTGATATGCTAAGTATTTAAAATAATAAACTTAAATATTTAAAATTATAAGTTCTCTATAAGTTTAAGTTTACTATAGTAGTATCTAGTATAGTATCTATATAGTAATATAATAATCATTTAAAATTAAAAAATAATTATTAGCAATCAATTTTCAATTTTTTTTATTTGGTTTGCTGTCAACATAATTATCTAAAATAAATAGACTTCTTTGGGATATAGCAGAAAATCGATGTAAATTTAATATAAATGATTATGATAACCAAAAGTGTATAAATATTATTAAAAACTGTTGTTTTGTTAGAATGCTATAGCCTGTTGCCAAAATATTCTTTATAATGGTGCTAAAATAAATAAATACAAAATGATTATAATGAATTTGCATTGTACACTTGTACCTAGTTGTTTTTGTTTGTATTTGTCTTTTGTTTTCCTTATAATTTGTCAGATATATTTACCAGAGGGGCATAATAGTTACATAATCTAAGTAGCTATTTAATATATAAAATGTAAAATAGATGTATTCTTATGAAAATGTGTTTAGTATAATGTAACATTCAGACAACAAATTTTCTGAAAAATTCTGAATTATATAACTCAATAAATAATAATATTTGCTAAATAGAAAATAAATGTAATATAACTCCTTAACATTTTAATATTTAGCTAAATGTTTTTGTTGGCCAAAAATGATTAATGGCAAGAATTATGTTGTTGCAGTGAAGCTCTAAATTACAAATATTGGTTATTGTTAACATTAATTACTGATATTTTACGTATTAATATTCCATCAATTTTTTTTGTCCTCAACAAATTTCCACTATCAACATAAACAAGCTTAGAAAATCAAAAAATTACTTCCTGAGTAACTAAATCCAAAATTCTATATAAAAAAAAAAAGGTTTCTTTTTTGATTAAAAAATATTTCTGGTAAAAAACATAGTTCATAAAAATGACACTGATTAGTATAATATTCTGGACGCCTATCAGTCGAAAAATCGGTGGAATAACTCTTTTCGATCAAAAAAAATCTATTCGATTGCTAGTTTTCAATGGATTGTATTCTCAGACGGTGATCGAATATTGTAAATCGTAAATATTATTTTCGATAGTCAAATTGATTTATCATTAAAAAGTATTTATTTTATGAAATCATTCGATTACGTTATTTTTAAATTCATCTTATCAAATATATCAAATAATATAGATAATGGATTAAGAATTATAATTTTAAAAAATTGTATAACTTTAAATGGCTTGATACCACGGATTAATATATACATCTCATATTAATATATCTGTATTTGTGCTGGTATTCAATTAAAATGTTGAAATGAGTCAAAGATAATCAAAAGGGAAATCCGTAACAGCAGAACAAAAGAGTGTTCTGCTTGGATTTATGAAGGCTCATCCAGAGCTTACAAAAAGAAAATTTGGAAACAAATTTACCAATTCTGATTCCAAAATTCTATGGACGATATTTGTGAACAGCTTAATTCTATTGTTGGCGCAAATAAAAATGTGGAAAAATGGAAAAAAGTAAGTTTAATTTATAATTATTATAATGTTCAATTAAAAAAAAAATGTATGAAAAACTGGTGGAGTAGAAAATTCTGATTTGATAATTTTAGATCCATTGGATAACAAAATTGATGGCATAATTGGACAAGTTTCAATTTTTGGACAACCATGAACAGTTGAGCCTATTGTTAATTTTGAATGGTTTGATTTTTTTGTTTAAACACCAAATAAAATGTTACAGTAAGTCTAGTTTTGTCACTTTTATATTTAAATAGTATTTTATTATTATTGTGCATTAAATTTTGATTTATATGTAAATTTTTTTTAAATTTGAAAAAATAATGTCAAGCTATCCAATACTTACCTTGTAATTTGTATAAGAAATGAATAGGTACTTTAAAAGCAATGTGTTTTTTGTGTGGTAATTTTGTATTAGGCCACTTGACAAATGCACAACTAAAGATTACTCCTTAGAGGCAACATCTTGCCACCAACACCTTCCCACTGTAGTTATAATAACAGTGAATCTCAAAACAAACCAAGTTCAGGGGATTCAAAATTAGTGACTAATTTTTATAAAGATTCAGAGAAAAACGAAAATGATAGTATAATATTTTTAACAAAATTATTAAATTGCATTGTATTATATTTTCACTTACATTTATCTTTATAATGACAAGGAAAATATTATGGTTCAAAAAACTATTAAAATAAAAGCTTGCAGTACAATAACTACACATCTACCAAATAAAATCAGGTTGATATTTTAAACCAACTCTAGCTAAAACTCAACTTAAAGGTAAATAATAAATATTTTAAATGGTTTAGTAAACACAATTTTCTACAAGCATCTATTGTATCTTCCAATAAAGTTGGCTCTATAAATGAAGTACAAAATATTATATTTAATGATTGCTAATTCTTCAAAGGGTAATTAATTAAGAATATGGTACATTGTTAAACTCCCTATAAATTACTCAAATATTATTATTTTTATTTTTCTTATAAAACTGCTTATAGGTAGCAAAATATTTAATTTATATTATATACTGTTGTTAAAAGTACAATGTTTTTATATTATTAACAAACCTACAATTTAGTTATAATACTCAGATAAATATTTATACAATGAATATTAGAAAAGTGATTCATTTAATTGAATAATACACTTTTGTTAAAAGCACAAAATAATTGTTATAATATTAATGAGCAATATTATATTTCATTACTTTGTTATTAAATTACTTATAATTTATATATCCAGGTTATTTATAACCTATAATTTAGTTATCTTAATATATTATGACGGTTTAAAGATATAATAGAGATTTAATGATGTAAATAAAGTAATTATTGTAAATATCTATTTATAATTTGATGCTTCATCCGTTTTCTAGTATCGAGTTCAAGATTAATTCTATCAACAACTCATACATATATAGGTTTATTGCCTATGATATCTAAATCTATCTGCTATATCTACATTGTTAATAATTGGTATATTGTTAGATACACAAATATTATGTAGTAATAGTAATATTATGGTACATGATTTTATTATTCTGGCAACTTTCTCTGGTGAGTAGTATAAAACTCTATGTTTAAGCAAACATCTAAAATTGTATATATTTAAAAATAAATAATCAAATTATTAATTTTAAATAATTAGAAATATACTTAAACCGCATTTTAAGTACCCCATTACAGCGTTCTATAATTTATCTTGTTTTGCAAAACAATTTATTATAGTTAGTCTCTGCAGTGTTTGGTTGTGATTGATACAATTGTTTTAATAATTACGGTCTTAATACATATCCAGAATCACCTAATAATATATATCCCTAAGAGGTTTGAAAATAGGTCTCCTGTTATTATTTTTTCACATATTATACTTCTATTTAAAGGTACCTATTATAGGTAGTTATATTACTTGGTATGAAACAAAAAAACACAGTTAACATAAACTATTTAAAAAAAATATTATTATTATTCACACTTCTTATTTAATATAATATACTTTTGGAATAGGCGTTTAAATCAATAATTTAATATTGTTTGTTTGTTTTAATAATATTTGTTTCTCACCATAGTTGGACCTGAATAACCAAATTGGTATTCAAATCGTTTTGTACATTTAAAATTTTGTAATTAGATTAATTTTAGATTGTCTTTTTATCTGGAGTACCTATATCAGGAATCATTTGTATTTGATATGGTGAGCCCAAGGTAATTCTTTATTTATTGTCAAATAACCAAAGTATCAGACCCTAAAAGTTTGAATGATTTTATTATTTAAATAAAGTGAAGGAGTTATACTTTTATTGAAAATTAAAGTGATATGAAAGGATTTTTCATTATTTATTTTTATTCTATAAATGGAATACCACTTTGTTAAGAGATTTGGATGACTTTGTAGTTGTTGGATGACATGAAGTTAAACATTGTTTGAGTGTATGACTTCGGTCACTGTAAGGAGTAATTGGTTGATCAGTTGTGAATATATTGAATAATATTGAACAGTATATGAGAAAAAATCATGTCTTGGGGAAGCCAGCTAGAATCGGAACCAAATTTGATTTTTCAAAACAAACTTTTGTAGCAAAACTACTGCAATCAAGATAGTAAAGTATTAAATCTGAACCAAAAAAGCAGTGTTTTATAGGGCGTATTTGCACATTTTGAAATTCAAATCAATATTTTAGTATTATAAAATGATAGAGCAGTTTTGCTACAGTAATAATAGTTGCAGTACTTACATTTATGGATGAATGTATACCGTGATTATCGTTACTTCATTGGTTTGTTACTCATTATGTATATTTTATAAACTTTAAGTAGCATTAGAAAATAATCTGTAATAATTTACCCAGGTACTTTTTCTGTTTAATTTTTATTAAAATCTAAATGAATTAACAAATAAATTTTATTAATAAGTATTGGCATAATTCTAGTTCAGCAAACCCTCACAAAATTGTTTTTAAAAAATATTAATTTGCAGCACTGATAACAATGATTAATTTGGTGAATATATTGTTTCAAAGTTATAACAATTTAAATTAGTATTTATGGAGCACTAGGGATAGTAATAATCTGTAATATTCATCTCACCTGTACTCCTGCAAAATTAGATTTATAGTTTGAGCAATACATTTTTTACATCAGTACATATCAGGTTCTGGACCAGTGGTAGAGAGTAGTGTGCCTATTGTAAAAATGCTAATTTTATTCAACATTCAATAATCAAATTAATCCATTCTATAATATAAATAATATAAATTTTTAATCCATTGAGTTTTTCAATAATATTTAATTTATTAATGGTTTTTATGGTATAATATTTTTAATATGGTTATTTGAATAATAATTTGTTTTTATTTTTATAAATTCAGATAAGTAGTTTTTATTAAAAAAAAAAGTATATATATATATATTTTTTTTTCCAATTAATGTATTTACCTAACTTGAAATAATCTAATATTTTCAAAATTAAATCTAACAAATTGTTTGTTTTTCAAGAATATTTAATGTAACAAAGTTTTTTATGGCATAGTATTTTTAATATAGCTATTTAAATAATGCTTCGGTTTTTGATTGCACATTTATGTAGATCCTAAGTGTCATATTACACAATCTTTTATATTTAAATTTTTGTACCTTAGTACCTTAGGTAAGAAATTGTATACTCATACACTAATAACACAACCTGGAACAGATATTAGTTTAACTAATGCTTACTTATGAATATTGTAATGTCTTGTAAAATAACATAGTGATTGATATTTGGTTACCATTTTGCATTAGACAAACAGACCTCAACTGTTAAATTATCTCTTCTTTGTAATATATTGTATGAATATGATAATACTATGTAAAATATTATAGCGATGGGTGGTTTGATTAACAATTTAAATATAACAGCAAACATTTTTTAACGTAAATGAAATTTGAAATAAAGAACCAGAGAAAAATTGATTGAACAAAGAATCAAAATCTGAGAAAAAATGTAAATAAAATAATATTGTTTAATCTTCAGATTAATATATTTACCCAACAAAAACTTTTGAATAAAATATTATGATCACAAAAGAAATGCATTAATATTTAAAGCAAATTTTGAAATGTAAAAAATATTTTTTTAATAAAACCAGTTAAAAACAAAATAATTAAATTACAATAATGATAAAATATAACACAAATTTAAAAAAAGAGGCCAAATTTGTTGATATGGCGGTTTGCTGCATGATAAAAATTACAAATGTATACTACTTGTACAAATCTGAACTCCTTATTTTCAGTAAGATAATGTTTAGTTTTTGAAAACTACTTTGAGCATGAGAATACAATATGTGACACATAATTATGTTATGGCTAGTACTGTTTTGTTTATTGAATAAGTTATCTTACTAAAAAAAAAAAAAAAACAAATACTTGTTATGAGTATAAGGACTAAAAAAAAAAAAATGTAGGGGGAAAGTAGCGTGCACATTTGTATAGTAATATTGGAAACAGCACACTACAATTTTAAAAAGTAGCAGTAACTATTCTTTTTTGTAAGTAACTGTAGAGAGAGCGAGCTACAAAAAATAGTAGTGTCCTATTCACTGGTTTGGACCTACTGATCAGTAAGTGGATATTTCATTAAACAAAGAGTGCTGTCATTACACCCATACCCTAGAAAACTTTAAATTGCATTAGCTTTCAACTATATATTTTCATTAAATTTTAATTACCATCTGAATTAACTTAATTACAATTGTTTCAATTTCATTTCAAGTTATATTAGTTTTGTAGACCTAAAATAATAATTATTTTAATTGTAAAGATTTTATAGCAAAATTTAATGTGAATAAACTGCCATACATTTAAATTTTGTTAATCCATATTTTATTTTACTTATTGTTTTAAAGTTTTTGGTTTTTTCATATAAGGCATTTACAAAAAAAAGATTTTAATTTATCTGACATTTAATGAAGAAGCATTGTGTTCAACTATAGCACAAGACACACAGAAAACAAATGCACTGTAATGCTAGTGTACCTGTATGAAATATTTACAACAAATTATGGAATTTGTTGCAAATGGGTATAAATAAATACACATTTCTTTAGTACATTCAAACATTAATTAACCAAATTGTCAGCCCTACAAAATAGTAGTCTATGATGCCAGAAATGATGTAGATACCTACAATATTCTAAATTTCTAAATTTAAAAATAAGAAGACATAAATTATTTTTTCACATAGAGCATATAGAATAGTTTTTTTTTTTTATTATTTAAATTTAAAAAAAAACTCATACATATATTACAGATACCATTTATTCATCCGGCTTTGCTGGGGGAGGACCGCATGGCTGCAAGGTTTTTTCCATTAAATTGAACCGCACTCTTGCTTTAGCTTCATTTTCCGCAATTGCGAACCAATTCAATAAATCATAATGGCCAAGATATGAAGCGCATGAATCACGGTGTTGATTTACTTGCCATTCAAATTTTGTAGTGTCTGCATGTCCTGTACCAATATATTTTGACTGAAGGTGTTCTAATTGACTGTGAATATTGTACCGGTCACCCATTATGATCTTTGAAATAAAAAAATAAAATTAGTAAACAATAATATAAAAAAACTTAGTTTTTTTAAATGTGTCATTGTTATTTTATACAAAATCAATTTACGTAGTAAACACTCGATTGTACACTTGTAAGTTTTTTATTTGTCCCAACTGGCAGTGTGCAATTATGAATTTTTAGTTGGAATATCTATATACTTGAATATAGACCTCTAGGATTTAATGTTCTAATATTTTTAGAGTACATAATATAGACTGACTAATAATTACTCGAGTAAGGAATTCAAATTTAAAGGTTTCTAAGTTGATGAATATTAATTAACACATGATAATATAAATTAGTCTCTACAACTGTAATTGCATATGTTTTTTACCAAGAAGCAATGCTGGAGAATATTTCTGAGATATCTAAAAGACAACTCAAAATCTAACAATTTGTCAAATTATTATTGATCAATTTCAGCTTTTAATATCATGTAAACAGGTTAAGCATTTCACAATTACAATCAGATAAACTGTTCAATACTTTGCGATCAGATTTCCTGGAAAACAAATTTTGTATAGTTTTTAAAGCATTTGTAATAATTGCAATGTTAGTATTTTCTAAAGTCATTCTGACAATATAAATACTCAAGAATAAAAGTGGTTCAGTTAAAACTGGATTATAAACATGAAGCATTGATAATATCGAACTCTCATATCTGCCGGCAAAATACTGTATTACGAATCACAGACAAAATATAAAACAATGCAGCATTACCAATTCATGAGGATGAAGTCTTAACGCCAAGACTCAAGCCTCGTCACCTTTTTCTTACGAGGGCTAGACTAATAAAGAACCATTGATGCCTTCAACCGGACCCATGGGAGGAAGAATGGAAAAGCAATATCCCCACTAACGGATTCTTAGTGGGTAAAGTATAAAGTAAACCACCAGGGTCGGACCTTCCCCGTAGATTGCGGACCAAGCAGAACTGCATATGCACAGGCCTAGGTCAGTGTAACTACTTATTGCACAAGTGGAAAATCAAGGTAGACCCTAAATGCGACTGTGGTGCAAAAAAGCAATTGATGGAACATAAAGTAAATGAGTGCATAAAGAAGAAATGTCATAGAATCTTAACTGAGTTACACGCAACAACAGACAAAGCAATAAAATGACTGTACTCATTAGACATCGACATCTAGTACCAAATAACCATGATACCTTACTATATTCATCTATTTTATACTTGTTTTATGAATTTATTAATTTGCTTATTCTAATTTTCCTGTTAACTAGTAGTAATCATAGTATAATAATATAATCATATTGCATTTAATATGGGTTATATGATATAAAAATAAAATTGATAATAAACTGTAAAGCTAGTATTCTTTGAGAAGCATGATTTTTATGAAGAAAGTTAATTTATGGTATAACGAGAACAATGCTGTTCTTCCCCATGGTGATGTAAACCATCTTCTATAGTTTTATTTAGTATTATATAAGTTTTTCTGTCCGGACTAAAATGGGCGGTAAAATCATAATCCGAGTTTTGATAACTGGTCCATTTAATTTTCACTTCTTTTTGATTACATACATATTCGAACCACTATTAATTAGGTAATTATTTTGTATGTGATAAGTGTTTAGTTTTATCTTTTAATACATTTTTGGACTTAATAATTTGAACTCGCAATATATTTATGTTTAATATCGTATTTACCAATCTAGCACTCGTTTGCAGTATTTCATTTAGACTTTAAAAATTCTATTAATTTACCATTCATACTACCTATTTGGTAATTCCGTTTATGTTTTTCTAAATAAAAAATACAAGGTTTTCATGAATTAGTTGCCATTTTTTTACATAGTTATAAGAATGTTTAATTTCAAAAACAGTATGTTTATAATAAATTAAGCAAATATAATAAATAAATTACCTGATTTATTTTAATAATTTCCACGGATGTATCTTAATTCGAAGTACCTACCTATTTTATTTATTTTCAAATTCAATTAATATTATTATACGACACGACGAACAAAAACTGTTTTTATGTGTTATCAATTATCATATTTTGATTATTATCTTTTTGCTGCAACGAGACGCCATTGAATAATATGAAACGCGCCTGTCGTTCGCAATATTTGATAAGAAAGTTCGGTGTAACTTGTATTTGTAAATAATGTTGCCTATTCAACTCCAGTAATGTTTGTACTGCTATTATTAATTATTGAAATTTTACCGCCTTTTTTTCTTCCATAAGTTCATTATAAGTTGTACTTTGTGGTTAGAAAAAAAAATTGTGTACAATGAAAAAATTGTTTTCATAAGTATCAAATTTTGACGAAAATCATAAATATTACAGGTTACAGCATTTCAAAACATGTATAACCAACTTCACCCCGAATCGTTTTTTATGAACAGTCGCATATCGTTGCGTACAAATTTAAATTTAATATCCTATACCTTACCAACTTCTCGCTTACCACAGTGGCATACCTATCGTGTGCGAAGTAGTCTTCTTTTTTACATACAATTTTGTTCACTTATAATAAGCCCTTGAACATCTGTTAACAAGTTAATAAAAATATTCTTTTAAATTAATTTTACCTAAAATAAAATAAAACATCAATGAACATTCCTGTAAATATATTAAACTTCGGTTTTATTCTAATTATTAAAACTACTAGACAAATAACGTTTTTTGAAAATGTGAAGAAAAATAGTTACAAGTTAATATAGTTATATGAATGAAAATATTTCTTCTTCTATTAGTTACAGATTTATAATAAAAATAATTATCCTTTATTTTATTTAATACCTATCGGTATCTTTGAATTTTCGATACTTGATAGGAATGTTGGTATTAGTAAAAAAATATTATGGTGTAAAACTTTCTATTAGCAAATTACAACCTTAGCATTTTTTCTGAAAGTAAATCTATATCAATAAAATATCAAACAAATATTATTAAAGAAAATATATAAAGCCAATTAAATTATTTAATAATAAGTTATAAAGTTATAAAATAAGTTACAAATTAATATTTGTATATATTACACATAAACCTATATTTCACGGATATTTAGACCTTATTAGATCATATATAAATAATACTGTTTAAACATTTTTTATGTAGGATCTCCACACAATTATATTGAACAAAGTAGAAGAGATTTGTATAAAGTTTAGAATAAAAATATTCCTTTAGAAATTATGAAAATTTATCCAAATATATACAAGAAATAATTAAATATATGAACGAGTTACCAAAAGATATCAAAAAAATGTATCTTATTTTATTTCTCAGTTAAATACAGCCCGGAACATAGATTACTTTTTAAAAAAAAAGACGTCCTAGAATAATGGAAACGGGTACAGCCACTGTTATGCCGGGTCCACACTAAAACGACAAAACTAAAACAAAACACAAACTCGTGTTTTTGCGACAAAATCAAAACATTTTTATAACAATTATGTTTTTTCCAACAAATTGTTCATGTTTTTCGAAACAAATTCATGTCCCGAGCGGTGTCGGTAAACATCAAAAGGTTTGTATTTTGTTTTTGTTTTTGTTATAACGAACATTGTCGACGGTATTTTAAAAATAACAGATAAAGGTAGTGAATATATAAATAATATAATAATAATAATAATATAATAAAAGATAAAGATAGTGTTTCGAGATGGCGAATAGTAGTGCGATATTTTGGTTAGCAGTAAGTATGCGGTCATCGAAAGTGTACAGTTACAGTAAAAGTATATACAGTTATAATTTATAATTTTCATAATATGAACGTGAAAAAAATGGAACGTAGAAGATATTTGTAAGCTTATAAAGCTTTACAGGGAATAGCCTGTATTGTGGGATGCAACGGACCCGAATTATAAAAATAAATTTAAAAAAACTGATACATTGGAAGAAACTGGTGTCCAATTTAATACAGACTGTATGGAAATTGACCGAAAATAGCTTCTGCAGCTTCAATTAATGCCTTTCGAGCTATTTGAGTAATTGATAAAAATTATTGAGAACATTGTTGTTGTTTTCTCCAATTTCCTCTTTCTATTGTGCCAGTATCTAATTGTTCTGAATCGAATGCTTCTGAGGAGTATATGTATTTTTTGATAATGAGCTTTTACGTAAATAATTGTGTAGGTGTACACAAGCTAATACAATTTTTTCCACTTTTTATGGAACATCTATAATAAAGTACTTGGTAGTGAATCATTACACTAGTCTCACTTACTCCACAATCCGTACAAAATCACTGCGATTCTCCCCAAACTTTATGATCAACTTCTACCTTTGGGCGTATTCATGGGGGGGATATGGGGAGTGGACCCCTCCATGGCTTTTCTTTTAACTACAAATAACGGGTATTGAAGTATCGTTATTATCACTGATTATCATTTTTTGTTACACTGCCAAAATGTACATGGCTTCGGCACTACGTGTAAAACCATCATAGATAATTTAAAAAAAATGGATAGACCTCTCCTATAAAAATTGCAAGTGAGACGGTTTACCCGGAGTGGCGGAAAACTGAGACGATTTATCAGACATCACTATGTAGTTAAAATGTCTCAATGAATCTTAAGAATAATTGTACCCGTACCTCTTGGAACACAGAATGCCTATCCATATCTTTCCTATCTATGAAAATAAGCCAATAATATAAGTGAATTTAGGTTTGTCTATTCGCAGTTAATTAGAGCACCATCGTTATCATTTATTTGTTATATTCCAAAATATATGTATAATAAAAATATATTTGTATAGATTTTGAGTGGTTTAACAAAGATGTTTATTTTTATTTTTTTTCTGTGCGCAACTTTTCTACCAGGAGACTTGCTCCGATTTTTATGTGTAGCATCTTTTCTGAAAGGAAATTGATGTAGAGGTATACTTTTAGGAGTCCATTTTCCAATTTTCTTAAAAGTTTTCTTATCAAATGTGTAAAACTAAAAATAAACTGAGGAAAAACGGGAAAGTGAACAAAATATATTATTAAAATATTACGATTTTTTTTCTGTGCACAGCTTTTCAACCGGCAATTTTACTCTAACTTATAATAATAGAAATTTTTTTAAAAGAAAATTTGTCTGGGAAGGTACTTTATAGAAGTCAGTTTTCGATTTTCTCAAGAGTTTTCTTAGCAAATGTGAAAAACCAGGATAAAACGTGGGAAAATTGGGAAAATTGGGAAAATCGGTACAACATGAGACAAACATAATTAAATAAGTAAATAAATATAGTAAATATATAAATAAAAAATGTATACATAAAATTAAAATTATATTTTATTAAATATTATTAAAGAAAATATATTAGCTTATTAAATTATTTTACTATAATATATATTGTTGTCAAAGCTTCACTATTAACTGAATTTCCCTTAGAATTGTTTTTTTGTAAGCAATAGTTTATCGTTGATCGATTATAAATTGTTGTCAATAAATTCATTGAAATTGGTTTTCGTGAACATTATTAGCTAAGGTAGGCACCAATCAAAATCCCTCGAAAAAAAATTAAAATAAAATTTACAGTTTTAACAACATTGAGTTTTTAATTATTTGTACAATTTTTTTTTATTTATTATTTATATTTAACGTGACTTAGGTATGCATACGGCTTATGGGTGGGGCGACCGCCCTCCTCGCCACCCCTCTCAGAAACGCGCCTGGATAATGTCAATTGTGTGAAAAAAATTGGATTTCAGTGGTAATTTTGAATGTTTATTGTGCAAGTCTTATTTTTCGATTTACCAAATAGAACTTTTTATATTTTATGTCATTGTGTCAAGTTGTCATTATATGTGTATATATAATCTATGTAAAAACATTGATAATAATTTAAAGTGTTACTTTTATACAAAAACTGTTGAAAAAAAATAGTTGTTTTGTTATAGGTGGAATAAAAATTAAATTTATAGAAGAAACAGACAAACATTTAAAAAGTGTTGCTAGTACTTGGCTGGCCAAAATCAAAGAAATAATGCAATCTATAAGAATAACTTGTAATTTATAATTATTAGTGTAATAATAATATTATTACAATATTACATATAATTACAATAATTACAAACATTATTTTATTTTAATATTAATGTTGAATGGGTTTTTCAATAAAAGAGAGAGATATTTATTTATTATAAAATATATTTTGTTTTGTGTATTTTATTTATAATTTGTATTATATTAAAGGTTAGTAATTATATATTATGTATTGTTATAATATATTAATGTTAAATAATTTTCAGACCTTTTTTTTTTTATTATAAAATATGTTTCATATTATATTCAACATTTTTACTATATTATCAATACTATTAAGGTTTTTTTTTTTTTTTTTCCATTAAACGAATGGCTTTTTAATTCTTGACTAATTTTAATTAATCATCAAAAAAAAATATATGTTAATACCAAACTGTAAATTTCTTAAATATCTTTCATGTGTATTTTGTTCTTCTATACACATAAATATGTTTGAGGGTTTTAGTGGAATAAACTGGGAATATTTTTGGATACTGTCTGTAGATATCTAATGAATATGTTTGTAGATATATATGGTATTATGTAAGTGATCAGAGATGACACATAGTAAATTGCTAATAATATTTCTTGAATATCTGAGGTTTGTTAGCGAATAACAATTCTAAAAAGTATCATATCTTAAAATGAAAATATTGAATGTTATGTGGGCACCCCTTCAACATAGATAGATCAGTACAATTTCATAAATTAATTGAATTGTATATTCCTGAATTTTCATGGTTTGGTACCAGCATAGAATTGAAGAATGAACTAGTTTGGTTAAGATTGTGGTCAAATAGTTTCAGTTATTCAGCTCTCTCAAAAATGATATAAATGATAAAATAAAAATTATTATTCCCATTTTAAGTTAATTACAAAAAAATTGTGTACCTATTAGGAAAAAACTGATTTTAAAATTAATTATGTTATGTATATTTTTAATGTAATGTGGTTTAAAATATCATTAAATACTAATAATAAATAATACTTTGCATATAATGTTATTATTTTTAAAATTTGAACTTGTAATATTGTGTTTGTGTGTTTCAAATCTGTATGCAAGAAAAAAAGAAGTGTTATGCTTAAATGTTAGTTTACCAGCTATTAACGCTATTAATTAATTGAATAAACTAAAAATTTGTGTATTATCGACAATATTTTAATGGATAGTAATATATTTAATGACTTATATTCATTATTATTACCACTAAAGTACATACTTTAGAGAAATGTTCTTAAACAAAACTATCAAATTAAAATACTTGCCTACTAAATAGTTCGTATAAACTAAGATTATACATTATACAGTGGTATAAACTATAAACTTTAAACTAAATAAACTTAAGTATTTGATACATAGTAATAACTCAAACAACATATGTATAGGGAGAATCGTTATATTTGCATTATTATTAATGAGATAAAAGTATTAGCATTTTTTTTTTTTTTTTAAATTTAGCAATATATTTTCAGAATTTGATTAGTATCACCTTATATACCTACAGTCTACATGTTAAACAAAATGTAATTTAAATAAAGAATCCAATAAACGTATCTAATCATAATTTAATACCTAATGTTGTTTATTTAATTACGGATGTTTAAATAAACCTAATTTGAATACATTTTATTACGTTCGAAATGTTTATGTTTCTACATGGTGTTACTGAGTAGTGAGCATCTACCTATGTATGTATATCCAATCATATGAGAGTAAGAATTGTAAACGATTTATTCAATAATGAGTTCACATGACAAAGTTTGTTTTGCATATTCAAGACTATTTCATTGATTAGGGAATATTTACAATACATATTAAGCATATTTTTATAAAATTAAATTTTAGTAGGTAAGTATAGAAATATTTTTTTGAACAATAGCAATAGATTTTTAAAAATTAGACAGGCATTAAACAGAGAAACTGAGAAATTACAATAAAATTTCAAGAGCTGGGTAGTCAATGTAGGTACAAAATTAAACGTTAGCAATAGAATTATTTTAAGAATGCGTTAAAAAATTAATTTTTAGGAGTTGTGTAATTTATTTAAATAAGAAACGTACAATTACAGGAATTGAATAAACATTATATACACATTTGGGAACCACTGAGATTTCGATTTCAAATCAAATATTACTAGCGGAACAAACATCATGTATATACAGATAATATGACGCCACACTAAACGCCCATAAACATTCGTAACAGTTGTAATAGGAAGAATTTAATTTTATATTGTCGGTAATAATTTACTAAAACTTAAATTTTGATAAGACGGAAGTAGAAATAGGATGAAATAGTTTTTCATTTAACAAATAATAAGAATAATTATTTACATTCATACTAAACAAAAGGTAAGTTATTTTTGTAATAAATTAACAAATACATGTTTTAGATTAAATTTAATATACAATTAAAATAATTCATGCACATTATGGGTACACGGTGTAACAAATAGAGAGAAAAAAGTGTTGATACTGTTGATGAATGCGTCACTGTTATAGTTGAGAATTTGAAAAAGTAGAATATATTAAGTTATTTAATTTATATCTGTAAGCAATGATAAACGCTAATTAACACATTGACAGATATTACTGCTATAGCAGCAATATGTAAAATGTCATATTACGTCTATGCTGCTGAAGCAGTAATCTTTTCAATGGTATCAAATCATAGAAGACAGTGGACTGCCACATTACGACAGTCCACACTGACAATTTACATAGATTTTGGATGTAGGTATAGTACTACTAATATAACAGTAAAAATTATATTACAAGTGTTCAATGTGTTAAAAACGACTCTGCGATGTTCGGTTATACATATTTTTAGTAGACTGTGGTTATTATCTATTAAAAAGGTTGTTTTTTACATCAATAAATAAATAATTTTGCATGAACAGTTCAATACGTATATATTATACTAAATTACATGTATATATATATATATATATTAGGGTGGTCCTTAGTTGTAGAAGATAAAAAAAAATATTATTGTTTTTATTGCTGGACCCTCCCATTTTTTTTTATAATCATATAAAAGTTATATGTAAAAAAATTGAGCATAATTACTCATCCCTTTCCCGTGCCCCAAGAGACTTAAATATAGGACAGAGGGTAACTACCCGTTAAACGGCTTTTTGTATTTTATTCGAAAACCATAAGATTTATCATAAAAATGTATTGAACTTAAATTGTAGAATAAATTAAGTACTATAAAAAAATGTTTTTACAAAATTTTCGTAAATTTATTATGCTATATAATAAATAATAAAATATAAAATGTTTAATTTATTTGGGAAAATTCATCACCTTTTGAAATTATTTATATATTATTATTAAATTTGGTCTGAAATAATTATTATCATGGGAATATTGTACATACCTTTTAGTTAATACCTATTTTATTGAGTCCATTAACTCAGTTATCTTATCGATAATTCTCGGCAGTAAACTACCTACACTAAGGGACTGTATGAAAGTTTTATTTTTTAATATGCGAATAGTGAAAATGAATTTGTCAGAAAGTGCATATTTAGCTATTGATGAATGTATCATATTCTGGAAAAAAGCACGAATTCCAATTAAAGATCGAGCAGATTGCATGAAGAAATTAAAAAAGTCGTATGAATTATGGCGAAATCTCGAAAAACATAAAGAACGGAAAAGCGAAACATATACATCTCAAATTAAAGAGTTTGAAAAAAAATTAGACAACTTATTTGACATAGCACATGCAAATGCATTTAACATAATGAACATTGAAATTGATAAAGAATTTTTACGTTCACAAAGAATGCCAGGTCGTCCAGGTTGTTTGCTAGGAGTTGACATGCAACTTATGAAAAAAGAAAAAAGACAAACTATTAGAAAAAATACAGAGGCAAGAAAACGACAAAAATATGAAGCTGAACTTTCAAATATTGAACAAGGTAATTATTACAATTTTAATACTGAAAAACATTCAAATACCTATTGTAGCTATCTATTCATTGATCATATTATAAATTATTTTACAATTATATTATAGTTGAAACACCGGCATTCACTAGTTCCGAGGAAGAGGAGGACATAGAATGTAGTATAATTCAGAATATGTTTGAAGTTAGAAGACGTGGATGAATTTTTAAATAAAGAACTACCTGTAAATTTGTTAAGTTACAAGTCGTGTAAAATATTTAAAAGATTCGGAATATCTTCGGAGTACCTAAAAATGAACCCAACTAAGTGTAATGACAATCTTGCATACCAGTCGGCAAAAAGGACAATAGATTCGTTACAAATTGTTAATGATACAGCTGAAAGGGGAGTAAAGCTTATGGAGGATTTCAACGATAAATTTTCTAAAAATGAAAACCAAAAACAATTTTTACTTCAAGTGNAACCCAACTAAGTGGAATGATAATCTTTGAACCCAACTAAGTGGAATGATAATCTTGCATACCAGTCGGCAAAAAGGACAATAGATTTGTTACAAATCGTTAATGATACAGCTGAAAAGGGAGTAAAGCTTATGAAGGATTTCAACGATAAATTTTCTAAAAATGAAAACCAAAAACAATTTTTACTTCAAGTGGGTTACAAAAAATTATATCTGTAATAAATGTAATTTTATATAACTTATCTTATTATGTATTTAATTTTAGGTTATTCAAAAATACAGAAAAACATATAAAAATTGTACNAGACAAGTTTTGAATACACCATTTGAAGATAAAACTACTTAGTACTTAGAAATACACCTTAAACTATTTCGTTTATTATTACATAAATATTATTAATATTATATATTGAAACCACTGTAAAAAAATTAAATTTTGTGAAAAAACCAAAAGAATTAATTTTTAAGAGGGAAATATTAGATTTACGAAAAATGTTGTAAATACATTTTTTATAGAAAATAATTTGTTCTACAATTATGGTTCAATACATTTTTATGATAAACCTAATATTTTTTGAAGAAAATATAAAAAACAATTAAACTACCCTTTGGCTAATATTCAACCCTCTTGGGGCACGGGAAAGGGATGAGTAGTTATGCCCAAATTTCTTCAATATAACTTTTATATGATAATAAAAAAAAAATGGAGGGTCCAGCAATAAATTTCAAAGGTGTGAAATTAAGGACCACCCTAATATATATATTATACTAATATGACTAATATGAATAGTGTTCATAATACACTTAATTGTCATTAAATTCTGTTTCACATTCTGATTCTGTATTGTATATTGTTTCTGTGACAACAATTTCATTGTTTTCACTATTATTATTTGAACCCCCAATACAAATAGAGATATTTTCTTCTTCATATCATGCTAAATTCTGTGTTGAACAAAGTAAAAATCATTCAAAGGAAATAAGATCAAGATCTAATTTTTGTGTATTATATTCAATGAGTGCATTGTTATACAAATATAGATATCTGGTTTTTCGTTTAAGAGTTTGACATCTACAAAATCATAGGTGCGGGTGGTGCACAACTCTGGGGCACAATACTTGAGTCAAAGGGCCCATAGCTGTCAACAAATGTTTTTTTCTTTCATTTGTACATTAATTTGATTTATCATAATTTTATTATTATCTTAAGTTTAGTTTCATATAATAAAAATATAAAAACCTGATCTGTTGTGACTTTGAGTCGTTTATTTAAAATATATAAGAGGAAATTACTCAGCCTAGAGTGACATATAAAGACATGATTTGTTAATTATTATAAGTAATACCCATATCAATGCGATACTAAAATGCACTGTTTAGCTAAAACTGTTATTTCCTTTTTTACTGTAAAATATATCATTATGTACTGTGTACCATACCTACTATCTAATGCATATTATTATTACATAGTATATAATATTATACATTATTATTCTTGTATACATATATTCAATTATGAATCAAACATTACTCAGTGGTGTAGCTAAAACAAAAAACAAAAATCAACAAATACAATATCTTTTAAAACCAAATAAAAAAAAAAATATTTCTTTTGAATGCAATCAACATGTTGGAGGTAAATGGTTTCCACCAACACATGTAGACATATTTTTATATTCATAATAGTTTTAATCATAAATAATAAATGTAGTGTGAGGACTGGCTTAGAAAATATTGAAGGATTAGTGTAGTGCTTTTTGTGGAGTCTCAATAAACTTTTTTTTTACTTTTTCACCTTATATATGAATATACTTACAGTAAATTCTTCTAAGTCTGTTAATTTTAATTTGTATTTTCTTAAATAATCTGTAAAATACCTATATATTTAGTCATGATTGTGACTAAACACAGAGCTTCTAAAAGCATGGAGCTATGTACAAGTGTACAGCTTGCATCACCTTAAAGTCAGCCCTGAATGTAGTTAGTAGGTATCATTATTGAACATTTATTTGAAGAAAAAGCATAAAATCTTGATTTTTTTTAATATTAAAAATATTATTAATCTTTATTTTAAATGTTATATTTGTATATTATTGTAAATCATTTTTGTTCAATCAATAATCTAATCATATTATATTTTGAACTATTTTTAATGACAATTTTGGTGCCTTAAAAATGAATATTACTAATTATCCTACAAATAATATTAATGTGTGCAGCAAACATTTTATTATAGATAATTTCTTACAATTCATAACAAGTTATTATTATTATTTAGAATTAATGCTCAAATTATGTAAAATACCTACTAACTGTTAAATTAGTAACATAGGTAGGTACTTTAATATGGCTGTTATGTAATGGGTGTGATTTTAACAATTCCATAGACTTCATAGGAACATAGAAACAGGTTTTCCTCTGAGATCACTAGTTTTAATCCTTTGGGGAACATTGTTTTTGAAAATTTTCTTGGAAAATATTAAAAGTTAGCACTCATTAGATATAAAAAAGAAACAAATTTAGGTGTTTTCACTATATCACAATGCCTCAAAGGGTTAAGACACATAGCAACGATTTTTAATATTTTGATATTATTTTCCACACATCCAAATTTAACAATGTGGTTACATTTCATTATATGTATATCCTCAATCTATTTTCACTTAAATCACCAATAAAACTTAAAATATCAGTTTGCTCAACAACCGAAGTAAACAATTTTTTTTTTTTTTTATTCGATTTCTATTTGAGGTAGGTACTATGAAATCGAATAAAATAAATTCAATTATTCATAAAAAAACAAATTAAATTAGTAATTGGAATTGTGAGATTGATTGTTATCAGTTATCAGCATATACTGTGGCCTCCTTAGAAAAAGTAACTACAGCACCCTTATATTTGCAAAATGTTCTTATCAAATTTTACCTGCCTACTGCAGGCGCCCAGTGGATTATTAGTTTATCATTATTCATTATTATTATTATACAATATTTTCATTTTTGCAATTAATGTAATCAATAAAAAAAATATTTTAAATAATATTACTATAATTAATTGGATATTATAAACAGCCTATAGGGTAGGGATGGGCGATTCAGCCCCTTGATCTCCTTGGTGAATACGCCACTAGTTCCTATATTATGTAGACATTATATGTTATGTAAAATAATTTGTTAATTTTAAAGTATGTCTGTTGTAGTCCAATGGTACGTACCTTTTCTACCAGAAATCTTGCTCCGTTGTATCAAGTGTAGCACATTTTCAGAAAACAATTTTTTATCTTCATGGTAATTTATGGAAGTCATTTTTTGATTTTTTAAGTGGTTTTCATAATTTCTGGGAAAAATCTGAAAATAGATACAATACTAAACAAATATTATTAAAGAAAATATATAATGCATATGCAATTGTTTTACCATACTATGACATATATATTGTTGACAAAGCATCACTATCAACTGAACTCCTCTCAGAATCGTTTTTTAGCAATGGTTTATAGTTGCTTACTGATGTACATTAAATTACTTATAATAGTTATAACAATAGCTGCACCCCACCTCATTATTCTAGGAAGTGGTATGGACTACAGAGGTGATAATTATATTTTGTATCAATTGCAAGTCAACAAATTTCTTGAGATATATATATATCGATATAAAATAAAAGATATTGATATAATCATTGTGGTATACTTGTATAATCAATCCAATTTCTTCTAGCACTTTCTCACTCAATATTGGTTCTCTGTTTCCCTCTTTAAATGCAGTCCATTTATAAATATGTGTTTGGATGCCATAGAGAGGTAATGAACGTGATTGTGGCACACACCGCTATTTTTTCAGTGGTTAATATTTATTATTTTCCTTTTAATGTCATCCTTTTAACACAATTAAATCTAGTGATTTTTTTAGAATCTTTTCTGATTTATACTGTTTTTACAGTATCAGTATTTATACAGTATTTATAATTTAGTATTAATGTTTTAAATACCTATCTAGGTATTTTTATTTTAATCATAAACGAATTGGAGGATATGGCGGTGAACAATCCCACGGAATTGGATTCCATTCCTGATGATTTTCTGGCATTACGTATAGCAATGGAGAAAAATTATTTAGAATATTTTGTAACCAGATTAAACAGAATTGATCCTGCTAATAAATTAAAAATACTCAACCAGGTAAACTTGACTTTAATAACTGTACAATAAATTATATTATAATGTTTGTTTGGTTTACTTTTTTTTTTCCAGAAATTTGTTAAAGACGATCAATCATTGACACTTCTGATCTATTCGATTATAATTTACAGATTTTTAATCACAAGATTACTAATTGATAATGGTGTAGATTTGAATGCCAAAGGAAGTATTAAATTACCTAATGATTCAATTGATGAAGTTACACCTCTTTGGTGTGCAGCTAGTTAGTATCTACAGTCATTTTTAAACTTATCTTGTTTGATTTGAAAAAAAAATTTAAGGGAAGGAAAAAAACAATAAGTTCTAACTAAAACCTAAACCTAGTGATAGAGGGATCTTTTTATTTTTTAATAATCAATTTAAACTTTTAAATTAAGGTGAATTTGTTCACTATTTAAATTATTTGTTGTCAGTTTTTTCAATATTTAAAAAATAATTACTATCAGTCCTATAATTATCATTTATTTTAAAAATTATAATTATCACTTTTGGAGATTTCAGTAGGAAGTATTGAACTCCCAAATCCCCTATTCTTCCAGATATAATCTTGGCTATACTCTTATACGTTTGTATAATCTGATGTACTAGTGATAGACATGTGGTGATTTAAAACTTGGATAAAAATTTGATTCAAATCCAGATTTGAATATCTGGATAATTGGATAATCGGGATATTCAGATTTCATGCCCATTACTAGTGTATGCCCCTATAATATAACAGAAGTACATTGAACTAACACTACACTGTATACTCTTATTGTAGTAATTTAATTACATTTGTAACTAAATTTAAATAAAAATAATTATTTATTGAAAAATTTCTGATAGTGTGTCTTCTTTAAATATGTGCTCAGAAACTCATTAATTGTATGTATAATTTTTTCTTATCATGTTTATGTTTGCAGCATGTGGAAATATTTCCATAATAAAAGTTCTCGTTCAAAGAGGTGCCGTTATTAATTTATATACAGAATGCAAATCAAATCCATTGATAGCGGCATGTTATTATGGATCAATAAAATGTGTTGAATATTTGGTTAATAACGGAGCTGATATTAATGTATGCAATAAAAATAAGAACTCCTGTCTTTCAATCTCTTCTTATATTGGTAAATTTATTCTAAAATTTTGAGCTTATATAAGGTGCTATTATTTTTATTGCGATTTTTTCTCTTGTTCAATATTTTGGGACTATTTTATTGTTTTAAATAGTGTGTCCATGAAAATATGAAATAACTCTCATTCAGTCAGTTTTTAATTTAGTATACAAGGTGTTATATCAATATGTAGAATAGTTGAGTTAAATAAATAAATTATGTATCAGAAAAAATAATTGTTCCAGTAGTCTACTTTCAGGTTTAGAAAATTAAATTTAAAAATATGAATAAGGTACAGTGTTCCTGGTTTCTGAACAACACAAATAATAAAATTAAGGGGATATGTGTAGTTGGAAAATTGTACAAAAAGGGTAGTCCACGAGTTAATTTTTCTAATTTAAATTAAATAGGTATTTATACAAATTTAAAAATAATTATTCTTTTTTTAAACTTGACATAGAAACATTTTATTTAAGTACCTTAATTAATATAATATTTAAAAAATAAATTTAACTCATACCTATTTATGTAATATTACTCTAGTCATTAAATTTGTATTATTTATTGTTTGTATAAGGTTCGGTTAGGTTAATTAACATTATATAATACATTAATGCAGTAATTACACACATATGGATTTTTTATTTACAGTAATAAGAAAATTGTAATACATTGATATCATATATCATTTAATTTTCGGATTTATAATATTAGTTGGATTGAATTTGTGTATATCTTTTAATAACAACGTGAAATCTTATACTTAATTTATGATTCAATAACTTCCTTTGCACATAAATATTTATTGAATAATTGTATTACTATTTTTATACTAGGTTATGAAAGTATTGTACAATTTTTGTTAAATAATGGTGCTGATGTTGATTCTCAGAACACATGTGGATTTACAGCAATGCATTTCGCTGTTAAAAAAAATCGGCTCAATATTATACGGTTACTTATTTTAAAAGAGGCTAAACAATTAAAAAATATTGAATGTATAGTAATTTTTTATTTGAACAATTATTATATGTGTAAATAAATTCAATTTTTAATTTATTTATTTTTCAAGTTATGACTCCAATTTTGATCGCTGCGCAAAATACTTTTAGTTCTATTGTACATTTTCTTGCCGATTTCAATTTGGAACAGGAAAAAATTGATGCATATGAATTGCTTGGAGCATCATTTTTAAATAGCAAAGAAAATTATAATTTTGAACAGGGGTTTTCTGCTCTATTGACAGCAATGGAAATGCGGTAAGAAATTTTAATAAAATATCTTAAAATGCAATGATAGTTTGTGCTATTATCTATATTTAAATTTTAAATAATTTATTATAGGTCCACACATAAAATAGAGAAACAGCCATATAAAAGAATTGCTGCTTATAATAACCAAATTGAATGTAAAACTGTGCAAGATTTAATGTATTTAAAAAATGTTCATGAAGCATTACATTATGAATCATTGATTATAAGGTGATATAATGTTAATTTTTTGTATATAGGTACCTAATGATGAAAATATTAACACAACCATATTTACTAAAAATGAAACATGTTTGTAAATGTCATACTTATTTTTTACTAGTGCAATGCATTTAATCAACATTATAAATCTAAATAAAATATTATAAATAAATTATTTTGTGGTTTGTAGTTATGCAAAAATATACAAAATACAATTTTTTTATATACAGGGTGTAACTGGACTATTTGACATTTTTGTAACTACAATGTAAAAATGTCAAATAGTCCTGTTACATCCTGTAAACTGAGTAGGTCATGAAAAACATTTTAATATTAACTATCTATTTGTTTTGATTAACAGATAAAAATATGCAAATCCATAAAAATGATAGCCCTAGTGATACATTATAATAGTAATAAATTATTTAAATATAGTAAATAAATATATAAATACAAATAAACAAATTTATTAATAAAAATAAAATAAATTAATTAATGAATGCGGCTCCTGGAGTATTATAATAAGTGTATTAAATGACCACACCAGTTCGAATTAAAAATTGATCATCAGGTATATCACAGTCGAAATGTAAACCGTGACTCATACGAGGGCTAATCAAAAAGTATGAAGACTGGTAGTATCATTCGGAAAAGGAGCATCGAAGAGCAGTAGGATTGGTATCACNTTCACTGATATTTTTGTAAAATATATTTTTCGAGTTTGGCGATTTTGTAATAAACCCAAAAGAAGAGTAACTTGACAGATTTGGAGATTTTAGAAAATTTTTCTGCATTTTTTTCCAGTTTCAGAGGGGTGCAACATTTCGTGGTTTTCGCCATTAAATGTCAATTGAAAAACTGAAAATGCGCCCTCGAGTGGCAGCAAGTTCCGCTTCTTTTGGATTTATTACGAAATCGCCAAACGTGAAAAACAAATTTTAGAAAAATATTGTCAAATCAAAATGAAGAAGTTTATAGAGATTGTATACGAATAGATGTGCTCAGTATAAGTCATAAAACCTAGGTTTACAAATCGTTTTGCTCTTCAACGAGTAATATTATCAGTCTCGATACTTTTTGATTAGCCCTTGTACATAATAAGTCATATAATACGCTTATCATAATATATATAAACTGTTTTATTTATATATTTATTTACGAGTATTAACTGTTTTACTTTATTATTTTATTATTTAATAAATTGGTTGTTTTTCTAACAAAAATGAATAATAAATATCATTGACATTTTATATTTTTATTAAAAACAAATTTATCAGTTTACAACACATTAAAATAATTATTATAATACGCAACCAGATAAAAAAAAAAAATAATAATACATATAGGTATTGGATGTTGTTATAACATAATTTTTTTTTTATTGGACTAAAACGATTTATATGAATTACGAATTAAATGAATTGCTACCTGTAATTTATAATTTATTCAATTTTTCTAGAGTTTTCTCCTCAAATTTTAAAAACCGAGATAAAACATGGGGAAATTAGGAAAATCCATACAACATGAAACAACATTTGTTTTTCTTTATGCTTACAAGTTAACATGCTTAATGACATAAAACTCAGTCTTGATTTAAAAAAAAATAAATTACCAAATAAGTCAAATTTTGGCATTTTATTTTAACATATGAGCAACTTTAATTTTTAAGATTTAACAATTATAGTTTTTAATTACTTATTTACACTATGTTAATCTATAAAAAATGACTAAGTGTAAAACCATATTTAAATGTTTTATTTCGTCATTTTATGTAAATGAAAAATGTATTATTATATAGGGGCTGTGGATTATTGTCTATAATATATAATAAATATAAATATAAAATTAATTTTTGTAATAAATTAAAACATTAATACTGATTGTCAAAACTGGTATCCAAACAATAATTATTTTAATTTGCATACAAAATTAGTAGTATCAATAATAAATGAAATAATAATAATTTATTTATTAATACAAGCTCTATAAATCTAATTTTGTTTTGTATATTAAGAGAACTAATGAAAATAGCTTGTGTTATGTTATCTTCTGAGAAAACTTATTTTTGTATGTATTATTTTAGAGAAAGAATTTTAGGAGAAGATAAACCAGATTTATTATTGCCATCAATAATATACAGGGGTGACTGTTATGCAGATGTAGATCATTATGAACCATGTCTAAAACTTTGGTGTCATGCTTTACAATTATCTCAGAATAATTGTTTCAGCGTTACTGTCGATCTTCTACCATTCATTCAGGTAAACATGATTAATAATTAAAATAATTGTATTGTTGATGCAATAAGAAGCATGTTATTTTATGGTAGGTATAATGAAGTTTTTATTATTTTATAAAATATTCTAGCAATATTTAATTTACAAAAATTGTGTATATTTTTGAAGTTCATGTATAATATGATTTACTCAATTAATTTTATATTTTTAATAATCATTTTAGTTTAATTTCTTTAATTCTGAATATCGAACTTACCTATTTAGTTGTGTAAATTGGTTCACCTCCAAAATAGCCAAACTCCTGTAATTTTTTTCCATCATATTAATCATTCCAGATTGATTCTGCTCATATTTAATTTTATCCAAAAATGGCTATCTATACCATATCAGTGTTCTAAGTGGGATGGGTACAGTAAAGGTATTCCAAGAGTTTTATAAAGTGAGGCAGTTGATTTGTAATATAATGATGAATGATAAAAATTGCCTCAGTTGTCCATCCTTATTTCTGGGAACATGCCTCTCTTAAAATTGTTATAGGAGTAGCCTATCCATTTCTTTGTTATGTATGTTTCTAAATCCATTTAGCAATGAGCAGTCTTTAAAACCCTTATTTAGTTTTGGTATATAAATTTAAATTTAATTGTAAGAGATAATATTTTGTGTTTCTACTTTTAAATTTTATTTATTTATATAGGTGTTTTGTAAAATGATTAAATCTGAAATCAATATTGAACTATTACATTTAAAAAATGTGTTGTTATATGCAGTAAATGAATCCTTATATTATAAATACAAAATTGCTAAAAATATAGACAAAAAGGAAATAGTGAAGGTACAATATAAATTAAGAAATAGTAAATAAATACAATTTGAAATACATTTTTGTTTATTTAATTAGCAAAACATGTATGAAAATATGAAGATTATAATGAGTTTAATAATTATTATCAGCATAACACTAGAAAAGGAATGCAATTTAGAGCATCCAATAAAGCAAAAACTGTTGAATATTATTACAAAAATCAATAAAATGAATCTCAGATCGGAAAACAATATGACATTACTTCACATGTGTGTTAAATGTGATATAACATTGGACAAATTTATAACAACAATTGTTTGGTAACTAAAGATTATTTACTTGTAAATTATATACAATTTTATTCACATATAAAATATACGAGTTAAATAATGATTTTTAAAATATCTTAATATGGCTGTAAACAATTTGATCATCCCCTCCCCTTGAACTTAAAATTGTATTTGATTTTTTTTGTTTTTATCTACAATTTAAATTAAATAACCAATTTTCTTTTTTTATTTGCAGGTTCCCTCATTTTCTTTCTATGAAATTATTATTAACCTGTGGAGCAGATGTTAATGCTTTAGACAATGAACAAAATACACCACTTAACAACATGGTTAATTTTTTTATAGATTAGTAAGTGTTTGCATTTTTATTTTTAAAAATATGTTTTATGTTTGATGGATATTTATTTATTTTAAGTCCCTTTATGCCTCATGACATGGATTTAAATTCTAAAAAAATAATTGAAGAGCTTTTGAATGCTGGTACTCACACAGACATTGTAAACAAATCTGGATGGAGTCCTCATAGTTTTGACCTAACAAGTAATGGTTTATATTTATAGTTTTAATTTACTGTAACATTCTGTTTATTTAATTTACTATTTTTTTTAGATATATATCCATGTTTAAAGATTTCTCCCAGGAAGTTGACATGCCTTGCAGCTTGTACTTTAAAGTATAAAACTAAAAAAGAATATTACTGTGATAAACTTCCAGAAGCTGTACTCAAATTTATTGATTTACATTGAATTAGTAATTATTATGTTCTTGGTACACTATTTGATACAAAACATAATTTTAATTAAAATGGAATTCAGAAGTATAATTGAATATAATTCAATTTTTATGATACACAATTTTCTAATAATTAACTAGTTTGTGTTTATTTTTAATGTTTTATATTTTCTACTGTTTTGTACTGTCTTTTAGGAAAAAAATACTTTATAATTTGTGACTGTTATTTTAATTTGAATGTCAAAATGTACACAATGTAGGGTGGCCATTGCATTACAGATAAATGTTTATAGCATGACTACAGAGTAGCAGACAACCTAATAAATTTACTTCACTATGGAATTGTATCATCATAATTAAATTTCCTATTTAGATTTTAAATGCATTTATTATAAAACTCATTTTTATTTCTGTAAAAACACTTTTTTTTTTTCTTTCTTTAAGAATGCATGCATTTAAACTTGTATTTATTGTTTGAATTTTATTATGTAATAGAATTATTTTAGTGTATACATTATGTTTTAAGCACAGCACTAATAATAATAGATTCGCGAAGTAAGCAAGTACTCCAAAAATATAATATAAATTATGTAATACTTTAAAATTATAATTTAATTTTATATTTAATATTTTGATATTTACATATATATATATATAAAAAAAACAAATATTTTTAACTATACTTACACAACAAATAAAAGTGTTTACAGTCCTAAGTCAAATTCTGTTGCGATATCAATTGAAAAAAATAATGTTGATTAATAAGTAGTACATAAAATAATATTTCTATATCATTGAAAAAGTAATAAGTAATATTCCGTATTTAGTATGGAAACCAATAGTTGAGTGACTGCAATATTAGTAGGTAACGAGTTTATTGGATGATCATAAGTAGTAGATAATCAAAATTCGATTTTAATATTCTTATAAACAAAAAAAATTATCTGAAACACAAACATTTCCGTTTAATTTTGAACGTCATATCGAGTAAACATTTTAATGGTATTTCGTACAAAGCTATAATACGAATATATTTCTCGAAGAAAAAAAAAACTGACGTTTAGAAAAAATTATCGTAGGAAAATTATTGAAAATGTAATTGCCGTATGTAAACATTAATTTCAACGCGAAAAAAAATTGTAAAACGGTTTTATAGTTTCTACTATTGATTCTGAACCAGTAATCACTGACTGCAGGTTAGGTACACCGTCATCGGTCGTTCCCGTTGAAAGGGACAAGTCAAAAATAAATGCTACGGTGAAAATAATTGTTTTCGGTATAAAAAAAACGCGCAATGTACGTATCAAAAACAAAATATAGATAAATGAGAAAAAAAAACGAGTAGGTATAATATTATGAATTACAGTCTACCGGATAATATTATAGTAATTATTGTAATATGAGGTATAAATATGAGTTACCGATTTCAAAACGAGTATAATCCGTGCATTCATTTTTTTTCTATTTAAATTATCTATATATTCTCTTTTTTTTTTCTCTTACGGGATTGTACGATACACAATATATTATTTTATACCGGACTATAATTTTCGCTATAACATTTAGTTTTGTAATAGAATACATATACTGGTGGCGTGATGGTTAGGTTAAGTTAGTCAGACTGCGAGCGACGCGCACGGGACAAGCGTTTAGGGTGCGTGGAGGACGCACAGCAGTTGCGTGGACATTCTACCCAGACTATATACTTATTGTGTTTTACTCTATAACCACTATATCGATTTTTTTTTGCCATCCTCGACATCTAATCCGCGGAGTAGTTTAAAAATTCGAAGCAAACCTTAGTCTTTTGGTCGATTCCGGAGGATATACGGTCGTGTGCTTCCAGTGATCCTAGACGCTTATTCGTGTACCTACCTGTATATATCTACTGCGATTTCCCAGCAATAATTAATGTTTTAATGTTTTATTTTTTATTTGTTTTTTCATTATAATTAATATACAAACTTATATTGCGTATATTTTTGTATAAAACGATACTGCGTTTTTTTTTCTTTATCGTTCGTGATTTATGCGTTTTTAAGACGAATCGTATTGATTACTCTATAGATACCGATAACGTAATTCGTCTTAGACTCTACCAAATCGACCGAACATCAGCTCAACAATAATATCAAAAGCCGGTACTTAAACTTTATAATATTATATATCAATACCTATTGACGTTTACTCGATTACGCTTAAACAGTTTTAGGAAGACAGGCGATTAATACTTAATTTTGAAATAGTCGATTAAACTAATTTTAAGTTTAATAAAAAAAATTAGCCGATATAAAAGCATAGCATTCCAACTAAATTTGAATGTAATCGAGTAAATGTTTTAATAGATTTCCGTACGGAACTATAATACGAGTATATTTCTGAAAAAAAAATTATTGTTTATGAAAATTAAGAAAAAATATACTTTATTTCAATTGCAATTAATGTAATCAATAAAAAAAATATTTTAAATAATATTGCTATAATTAATTGGATATTATAAACAGCCTATAGGGTAGGGGTGGGCGATTCAGCCCCTTGATCTCCTTGGTGAATACGCCACTAGTTCCTATTTTATGTGGACATTATATGTTATATTAAATAATTTGTTAATTTAAAAGTATGTCTGTTGTAGTCTAATAGTGGTACGTACATTTTCTACTAGAAATCTTGCTCCAATGTATCAAGTGTAGCACATTTTCTGAACAAATTTTTTATCCTCATGGTAATTTATAGAGGCCATTTTTTGATTTTCCAAGTGGTTTTCATAATTTCTGGGAAAAATTTGAAAATAGATACAATACTAAACAAATATTATTAAAGAAAATATGTAATGCATATGCAATTATTTTACCGTGATTTAGCGTGATATATAATTTTAAATATAATATAATTATTATAATATATATATTAGGGTGGTCCTTATGTATAGATGAAGAAATTTTTTTTTTAAATTTCTGATTGGGCCACCCCTGGAATTTGTTCAAAACAACAAAATAATGATCTGTGTGAAGTTTTGTAAATATTGATTAACCCTAAGGCGTGCCTCAGGAGGGCTGAAGTTCAAAGAAGGGTGGTTTTTCGATTTTTGCAATTTTGGCCTAAAATATTTAAATTAGGCAAAAAAGGGCTTTAACATATTATTTTTTAAATTGAATATACTATAAAAAATGTAACTTGTACTTTTTTTGTTTAATTACTCATTCCAACACAAAATAAAAAAAACTCGTATTTAATATATTTTACATGATTATTTCGGTTAACAGCGTTAGGCGTACAGTTAACACGTTGGGTTTGTAGGTATTAAACCATCATAGTTTTACTATCTAATCAAATTAAGTAGGTAGATATTGTAGATAATCTTTGGTGTTCCACTATATTATTCCACTATATCTTTATTAAGATTATAGTGAATAACTAAATAAAATTATCATTGGGATTTTACAATTAACTATTAGCGTCTACAGATTATTATTAAATAACACGTTATAGCGATAAAGCTTATTTATGCTTGTAAGTATTTAGTTGTTGGACGGTCGTCGATCACGATATCGTTCTTGTGTTATTTTGTTCGTTTTTACGTTAGTTCAATGTAGTTATTCATTTATATGTTTTCCGTTGTTTTTTTAATTAATGTTAAAGTGTTGTAATAATATGACGGACAAAATTAATTTGCGTGAAAATATTTATTTAATTAAACATACTACACATCAACTTTTTGGTTGTAAATTACCTTCAAATAAACAAGTTCTAAGGGTTTTATTTCATAATATGCGTGAAGTCAAATTGAGTCTACGAGATAGTGCTCGATTAGTCATAGAAGAGGTTATAATATTTTGGCAAAAAGCTCGTATTCCGAACAGAGAAATACGTCATTGTATACCAAAATTAGAAGCGATGTACAACGAATGGCGAAATTTGCAAAAAAATTCGTCCAGGCGAACTGATATGCAAATAAAAAAAGAAAAAAACGTGCTCATGACGAAATAAATGTATTGTGTAAGTATTTAGTAACTTATTAATTATTATTTAATTATACTAAATGTTTGCGCACAATAATTTCAGATGAAACGGTCGAGTTAATGTCGACAGAAAGCGATACCGACGATGACAATTTTGTTTTCGAGGAAACAATATGTGAACCTGGTCCTTCTACTAGTAAACGAGCTTCAACACAGTTTCTCACTAAAAAACTCGTAGCTGCATTGGATACATGTAAGGTTAGTGATAGAGACGCAACTCATTTACTTATGGCAACAGCTGAAGCGTTAGGTCAAAATGTCGAAACCTAGAGGAATGGTACAAAAATATCAACTATCAAAAAGGTATATCTGTACTTAGTCAAGTTAAAGTTGTAAATGATGCAGCTGAGAGGGGAGTGAAATTAATAACTGATTTCAATGACAAAATTACTAAAGACGAGGAACAAAAACAATTTTTGATGCAGACAGTTTACGACTACCGGTATAAGTATCCTGACGCAAAACGAAGTACACTTTCAAAACACATTTGAAAATTTATAACAATTTAAAATTTTACATTATAAATACTAATTTAAATAATATACTACTTAAGTTTTAAAATTTTTCTCCTAGATATATATTTTTTAAATAAATTCATTGTCTACAAATAATATGATGTACACTTTTTTCATTAATTAAAATAATTTTTGAGGTATATAAAAAAAACGAAAATACACCCTCTTAAAAGAAATTTCAACCCTCTTGAGGCACGTCTTAGGGTTGCACTATCGTTATAAAATTACACAGATATTATTTTTTTATGGTTGAGTTTCAAATTCGAAGGTGGCGCAGTTGAAATGTTGATCTTCAATTTTAAGGACTACCCTAATATATATATATATAATTTATAATATAAATATATATTGTATAATAATTATAATATATATAATAATGTAACTATTATTTATAGAAGAGTGTCATTTACAAATGAGTATCGTTCTAGAGGATATGCGTGGAAAAAGAAAGTTGCCTAATACGGATTTGTTGGCAAGTCCAGAAAAAAAAAAAGAAATGAAGATACAGTATAAGCAAATGCTTTTTCCCTTTTTAATAAAACACTAATCATAGATCTTTCAAACAATGGAACACATCACAAAATATTGCCCGACCCAAGCTGTCAATAAACCAATTTTTGACATTCATACCATTTCGACTCTACAAACACTAACCGGATTGAGATCACGTGGTACTCTGCTATAAAACGTTATCCAACCACAAGTTTCTATGATACCATAAGTTTTAACTAATTATGTTCACTTATAATTTTTCATTTTATTTATGTTCCATTTGCATTAATTTTTCTTTAATAATATTTTTGAGTTGTCATGCTTAGTTAATACTATACGATAATAGGAACAATTATTTGATTTCAGGTGTAATTGGCGAAAAGTGTTATATATATATTTAATTCTTGTAATCAAAATATTTTATCGCCCCTAAAATAAAAAAAAATATGCATGATATGTAGTTTTGAATATAATTATGTAACTGTTTATTTTATAGAAGAGAGTCATTTACAAGTTGATATCGGTACAGATGATATGCGTGAAAAAATGGAGTTGTCTAATACGGATTTGTTGGCAAGTCCAGAAGAAGAAAGAAACGAAAGTATAGTATAAGTAAATACTTTTTATCTTTTTAATAAAACATTAATCACAGCTCTTTAAAACAATGGAATACAAGTAGTATAATAATGTTAGTTCTGGCTAGAAAATTTAACAAATAATAATTAAAAAATAATACAAAATAAAAATAGAAATTTAGTCCACGACATTTCGCTGTTGAAAATTAAATTTGACATGTGTATCGGAAACAGATGCTGATATATTAAAAACCGTTATAAATGATAGACATATCAAATGAAAATCCTATAAACCCTCAAAAAAAAAAAAAAAAAAATCAATTGTAATTTTCACACATAAATAGTTGGATGTATCGCAATCATTTCCTGGACATTTTTCATAAAATAGAGAATTGATGCTAAACCATGAAAAGTTACCTGTGATAATGCAGAGCGGTTTCTCTCACAACAATTTTTGAAAAAAACAATTGATAATTTTTTTCTATTTAAACATTTTTTTTTGAAGATAATTTTTTTATATTTTCTATAATAAATGGAATCTATTAAAAGAAAGTTAAATTCTAACACAACCATTGAGGAATTCATTAAATTGGGAGATTTAAAAGAGATTAAAAAGTATTCAGTTGATAATTTCTGTATTAATAAATCACAATTTGGACTTCAATTATTTGTTGATGTAGAGAACAAACTTCGTTTAAGTTTATCTAAATGATTTTTAAAAGATTTTTCTGATAGTGATTGTAAAACAATTAATGAATGAACAACAAAACAAAATTACTATGATCTACAAAAGTATTAATATTCATAATAAAGGAAAATAATTCCAATTAATTTAGTTTGAATACTTATAGCATGTCAGTTTTTTTAAATATATTTTAAATTAAAAAGATTATTTATAATAAATGTGAATAATAAAAATAAAAATGGATTCATAAGGTTAGAAAATCCTATATTTGGAAATTATTTATTTATTGGTGTTTTAAGTTTAAATATTAAATCAAATTTAACAAAAATTTAAGCAGATTGTTTTATTAAAGTCGAAGAAAAGATAATTGAACTAAAAACAGGAAAATATACTATAGATGAATTAAATGAAATTGTTAAACCGTTAATAATTTATGTAGAAGGCGACAAAATCGGTAGGCGGGCTAGAAAAAAGAAGTTGCATAATACGTATATGTCAACAAGTCAAGAAGAAAAAGGAAACGAAGGTATATTATGAGTTAAAATTTTCAATTTTCAATAAAATACCTTTATTTGCAATTACAAACTTTGGAATACTCCTTAACGTTTTCCTTCAGCCGAGCTGTCAATACACAAATTTTTAAAATAAGTACCATTTTAAAATTGCCTCAAACCTGTTTCAGATCAGGTAGGACTCTCCTATAAAAATATAAATCTACACGGAAGTTACTTAATTATTATACGTCTTGACTAACCATACTCAATCTCACTAGTTTTTTTATTTATATTCAGTTGAAATTAATTTCACTTAGACAAATATATTGAGTAATAATATTTATTATATACAATTCGTTTAAAAGTATTACAAATCTTTTTTAGGAGTAACTAGCTAAAAGTATCGTATTGAAATTTAATTTCAGTAATCAAAATATTGTATCGTCATAAATTTATTGCATACATTAATTTATGTACATTTATTTGCCATTTCAAACAACGGAATACTTTCTATCGTTTTCCTTCAGCCGAGCTGTCAATACACATATTTTTAAAATTCTTACTATTTTAACATCGGCTCATACCTTTTAGAATTCAAGTAGGAATCTTGTATAAAACACCTAATCTTCAAACAAGTTACTTAATTATTATACGTCATAAATAACCATATTCAATTGCATTAGTTTTTTTAACCATATCCTGTTGCAATTTATTTCATGTTTACTATCATATTGAGGAATAAATCATGTTTTATAAAAATTGTTTAAAATATTACAATACTTTTTTAGGATTTATTGGCCAAAAGTGTTGTGTTGAAATTTAATTTTTGTAATCCAAATGTTGTGTCGAATAAAATAAAATAAAAAATGCTGAAGTTTGAAATATAATAATTTAACCGTTATTTACAGAAGAAAATAGTTATCGAATGGGTATCGGTGGAGGGGCTTTGCATAGAAAATAGAAGTTGCCAAATATGTTCCTGGTAACAAGTCAAGAAGACTAAGGAAACGAAGGTATGGTATGAGCAAATACTTTTTCAACTTTCCATAAAATATTTTTATTTGCAATTTCAATCAATGGAATACTGTCTAAAGTTTTCCTTCAGCCGAGCTGCCAATACACATACTTTTAAAATTCATAATATTTAAACATCGGTTCATATCTCTTTGAATTCAAGTAGGCATCTCGCATAAAAAACATAATCTACACACAAGTTAACTAATTATTATACGCCTTGACTATCCTTACTAAAATTTACTAGTTTTTTATTCATATTTTGTTGCAAATTCATTCACATTTACCATAATTTTTTTTTTTTTTTTGGTTTACGGTCATTGAGACCATACCGTCAAACAAATTTTTCTCCACCTATCCCTATTTTCTGTTGCTACTCTCCATGGTATCTCTGGTTCAATGCTTTCCGCGTCTCTTTTTACACAGTCTTCCCAACGTAAGCGTAGTCTTCCGTGGGGTTTCTTACCAACCGGGTTCTCTTCGATTGTTGTTCTGACAATAGATCCTACTCTCCGCCATGCATGTCCTGCCCAGGTTAATCTCCTTTTCTTGATTTCATTATCGATCTTCGGTCTCTGGAATAGCTCCTCGAGTTCTTTATTATGACGTTTACGCCATTCACCTATGTTTGTGTCGAAGCATGGGCCGTAGATTTTCCGTTGGATTCTCTTTTCAAATACTTTTATTCTGGTTTCTTCTGCTTTCCTAAGCGGCCATGTTTCCGCGGCATACAATACTATGAGTCGTTTCAGGGTCATGCAAATTTGTATCTTCAGGTTAGTCGATAATGTTCTTGAGCTCAGTACTTTTCCAAGACCAAAAAAACTTTTGTTGTCTTTTTGTATCCTAGCACTGACTTCCATCTTCAGGTTATTATCTTGTGTTAGCAAGTGCCCCAAGTACTTGAAATATGTGACTCTTTTGAATACACGCCCTTCTACATTCATAGATTGACCTTGTTGATATTCTCTGACCTGGCGACTGAATATAATGTACTCTGTTTTTTCGTCGTTTATCTCCAGTCCGACCTTACTAGCCATCATGATGAGTTTCCTGCATACTTGTTTAACCGTTTCTTCAGTTTCTACTAACATCGCTATATCGTCCGCATAAGCCAAGATATTTATGTTCGAGTTTCTCAATACTATTCTATTGTTACAATTCGTTTCTCTGATTATCTTTTCTAATATAAGGTTGAACAATATTGGCGATAGCACATTCCCTTGTCTTAGGCCTGTCCTTACCGTTGCTGGCTCTGACAATTCCGATGCTACCTTTATTTTGATTTCTGTATTTTGCAGAGTGGCCTCAATTAATTTTATTAGTTTATTTGGTAACTCAAACTCTTTTAATATGTTTATAAGGCTATGTCGATGGACGGAATCGTATGCTTTTTTGAAATCCACAAATAGTATACAAATGCTTTTATTGAATTCCCATGATTTTTCTATGATCTGTCTTAGACTGAAGATTTGATCTGTTGGGTCTAAAACCACCTTGATAATCTCCCAGAATCTCTTCCGCAATGTGTTTAACCCTATCTAAAATGCAGTAGGACAATATCTTGTAGACCACATTTAATAAGGCTATTCCTCTGTAATTATTACATATTCGTGGGTCACCTTTTTTATGGATTGGGCATACGACTGCAACATTCCAACCTTCCGGTAGTTCTTCCTTCTCCCAAATATTGGTTAGTAACCTATGTATATGTGTTAATGAAACTTCGTCCAGCATTTTCATAATCCCACCTTGTATACCGTCCTCACCAGGCGATTTATAGTTCTTCAGTCGCCTTATTTGTAGTTCAACTTCTTGTTTTGAGGATGTTGTACATTCGTTTAGGTTGGGTTCTATCCTTGTCCAAGTAAAGGTTTCTATGGGGTCGTTGCAGTTAAGAAGATGTTTGAATCTCTCTACAAGGTCTGATCGGGCAGTAATTAGTGTTCCATCTTCCTTTACTAGGAACATTTCATATTTTTTGTAACCTCCCTTTAGTGTATTGATTTTTTTGTATAATTGGTGTATGTTATGTTCATTGTGATATTTTCCTGCTTCTTCCAAAATGTTTTTCGTATAGACCCTTTTTTCATACTTAAAGATTCGACTTGCATCTTTTCTGATTTTATTATACTTCGTTTTGTTTTCTTTATGGGAAGGATCATTAAGGTACAAGTTTCTAAATTTTTTCCTCTGATTTAGGGCTTTCTCACACCTCTCATTGAACCAAGGTTTTTTGGTGTTTTTTGGTTTGCCCAGGACTTCAGCTGATGTTTCTTTTATTGTGTCCTGTACTCTCCTCCACATATTATTTGTTGAGCCTATACTAGCTATATCTAATTCCCTGCTGCGTTTGTGTATCTCACTTTTAAAACGTTTTTGGCAAACTTCATCTGTGAACTTAGTTATATCATATCTGTCAANCCACCCTTACCTTCAGTCTTGCTTTAATGTTTACCTTAACCAAATAGTGGTCAGAGTCACAGTCCGCTCCTCGCATCGTTTTAACATTCGTAATCCTGTTTTTGAACCTGTCATTAACTAGTACATGGTCAATTTGATTCGTATGATTCCCATCTGGTGACTTCCATGTTCCCTTATGGATCTTTTTATGGGAAAACATTGTGCTCTTGATCACTAAGCCTTTGCTCGTTGCAAAGTCGATTAGGTTGAGTCCATTAATGTTAGTTACTTCATGCAAGCTATGGTAGCCAATGGTTAGTTTAAATATTAATTATTTTCCTACTCTTGCATTTAGGTCTCCTAATATGACCACTATTCTGTAATTAGGTATTCCATCTACTACGTTCGTTAATTAATCATAGAAGTCGTCCTTTTCTTCTTGGGTCTTTTCCTCAATAGGGGAATGAACAATAATTATTGTGAGATTACACCAGTATGCTTTAATTATTAATAGTGATATCCTTGGGTTGTTAACCCAACGCCCAACCCCCAACCTGGAGGACCAGACTACTCCAGTCACTTAAGACCAGAGTGGGACTATTGCAGCGCCCAATGAAGAGTACTGGGCGATGGAGAACGCCACTTTCCCAACGCCGAAACATTTACCATAATATTGAGTATTAATGCCTATTATAGGCAATTCGTTTAAAAGTATTACAATACTTTTTTAGGATAAAATAGCTAAATATGTTGTATTGAAATTTAATTTTCGTAATCAAAATATTGTGTCATAATGAAATAAAAAAAAGAATCCTGAAGTTTGAAATATAATAATTTAACTGTTGATTACAGAAGAAAATAATGATCGAACGGGTATCAGTGGAGGGGCTATGCATAGAAAATAGAAGTTGCAAAATAAGTATATTTTGGTAACAATTCAAAAAGAATAAGGAAACAAAGGTATAGTATGAGCAAATACTTTTTCAACTCTCCATAAAATAATTTTATTCGCAATTTCAAAAAATGGAATACAGTCTAACGTTTTCCTTCAGCCGACCTGTCAGTACACATAATATTAAAATTAAAAACATTTTAACATCACCACAACCCTGTTTGTGATCAAATAGAAGTCTCATATAAAAAACTTAATCTACACACGAGTTAATTATTTATTATGCGTCTTGACTATCCTTACTCAATTTCACTAGTTATTTTATTCATATTTTGTTGTAAATTCATTCAGGGTTACCATCAAATTTTGTAATTATGCCTCATATAGAAAATTCGTTTAAAAGTATTAAAATACTTTATTGGGAAAAGTTGGCTAGATGTGTTGCATTGATATTTAATTTTCGTAATCAAAATATTGTGTCGCCATAAAATCAAACAAAAAATGCTGAAGTTTGAAACATAATAATTTAATTGTTATTTACAGAAGAAAATAATTATCGAATGGGTATCAGTAGAGGGGCTATGCATAGAAAATTGAAGTAACAAAATACGTAATTGGTAATAAGTCACGAAGAATATGGAAACGAAGGTATATTATGAACATATAATTTTTCAACTTTCCATAAAATTCTTTTATT